TAGTGTGTCACATTAGATTTTCTGAGGTGCTCGGTGGCAGGTACATGTCATTAGTAACACTTTAGCGTGGTAATGAACCTTTTATTTATCCGGTGCTCTTCTCATGAATGGATAAGGAGCTGCTCTCCAGCTGTGCCCAGTCGGGAGCAGTGAGGAGCAGACAGGAAAGGCAGAGAGAGAGCCAGGGCCTGGAACACAGAGGAGAGGAGGGGACAGACGCAGGGCTCTGGGGACTGGTGAGGTGGGTTGAACTGTCATTATCCACACACACACACACACACACACACACACACACACACACACACACACACACACACACACACACACACACACACACACACACACACACACACACACACACACGCACACACACACACACACACACACACTCCTCACCTCTGTTCCATGGGGTGCTGATCTGACACTCTATTTACACACACATTTTCGCACTTTCGCCCAACCTTTATGAACCTGACAGCCACTTAAGTAATACATTACTCAGAAGAGCTCAAACCCAGAGGCTGTGTCACCAAACTGTCAATTCAACTGATTTTCCTTCAGACAACTAACACATAAACCACATTCACACTGAAAATAAATTATAACATGCAAAGGTTCAACTAATTATAACACACAGATTCTTACATCTTGATTTCATATTTTTGTTTTCCTATTATTGTTTATTTCCCCAACTATTAATGAATAGAGAAATGCTCTTTCTTTGACACACAGGAGCCGTGACATTGAGAGGCTACGCCAACACATCCCGTGTAATTTCCCTGATACAGTGGGTCTTTACTGTAAAAGCAATGTGTCAGCCTGACTCTTCATTAGGTTGTGTGTTCCCTCTGCTGTAGCTTGCCACCTTTGCGGTCAGATTGTCAGTAGCTGTGATTGTAGGTCAGTTTCTTGTTTCTGTAGTGTTTTTTTGCGGGGTCAGTGAGCTGTTGGGTGTCAGTTTCCCAGGACTATACTGCTGTACCTCTCTCTCTCGCCATACACCCTATACGGCCCGGTGTAGCTGAGCCCTGGTGGCTACCGCAGTGAAGCGGTCAGAGTGGCGTCCACTGGCGTGGTCAGGGCCCCATGTCACCCCCAGTGTCCTCCCTGTTAATTTACCTTTCATCTTGAGTGTGAAATCGCTGCCGGTGTGGCGCTGATCCAGCATTAAGAGGTCAACTATTGAAATCTGATGTGCACCTCTGGCTGAGGGAGTCTAACAGATGGAGGGAAAAACAAGAGGAAGGGAAGGGGGTATGGAGGGGAGAAGGGGGTGTGGAGGGGAGAAGGGTATGGAGGGGAGAAGGGGTATGGAGGGGAGGAGGGGTATGGAGGGGAGAGGGGTATGGAGGGGAGAAGGGGTATGGAGGGGAGGAGGGGTGTATGGAGGGGAGAAGGAGGTGAAGGGGTTATGGAGGGGGGGTATGGGAGGGGGAGGGGGTGTTGGAGGGGAGAGGGGGGTGTGGAGGGGAGAAGGGGTATGGAGGGGAGAAGGGGTATGGAGGGGGAAGGGGTAATGGAGGGGAGGAAGGGGTATGGAGGGGAGGAGGGGGATCGTGTTAGAGGGGTGTGGAGGGGAGAAGGGGGGAGTGGAGGGGAGGGGAGGGGGTGAGGGGGAGAAGGGGTATGGAGGGGCCGAGGGTTGGGTAGTTAGGGGGATGGGGGAGGGAGAGGCTGTCTTTCCCTGGCTTTCTTTTTCTGTTTCTTTTTTTCTCTCCTTTTTCTTCTTGCCGGGTTCTGGCTTGTCCCTCCCGGGTTTTTTATGCCTTTTTTCCCTTTCTTCCTGCTTTTGTCCCCCCGTGTCTCTTTTTTCCCTTTTTTTTTTTTTTCCCTTTTTCCGGGGGTTTTTTTTCCCCGTTTTTTTGTTCCCTTTTTCTTTTCCTTGCCCCTTTTTCTTTTTTGGTTTTTTTTTTTTTCTTTTTGTTTCCTTTTTTTTGTTTTGGTTTTTTTCTTTTCTTTTTTTTGGGCCCTTTTCCCCCCCTTTTGCCCTTTGTTTTCCCCCTTTTTTTTTTTGTCCCCTTTTTTTTCTCTTCTTTTTCCCCCTTTTCCCTTTTTTTTTTTTTTTCCCGTTTTTTTTTGTTGGGGGGGTTTTTCTTTTCTTTTTTGGGGTTTTTTTTTTTTGGGGGGGGGGGGGTTTTTCCCTTTCTCCTTTCTTCTTTCCCCTTTTTCTTTTTAAGGGAGATGGTGGTTGGAGGGGAGAAGGGGTATGGAGGGGAGGAGGGGGATAGAGGGAGAGAGGGGTGGATGAGGGGAGAAGGGGTATGGAGGGGAGGAAGGGGTTATATGGAGGGGAGAAGGGTTATGGAGGGCTTTATAAGCCCCCACTGGACTGCACCAGACCGGCCACAGGGCCAGGGAGGGGAAGGATTCAATCTATTTTCAAGTGAACATCACTAGGGCTGGTTTCCTTTACTGTTTCCTACAAATAGGGACCAATGTCCAGGCTTGATTGACTAGCATGGTGCCATCACTTGTTTTCAACATCTAAAAGATGTACCACTATGTGAATAAAAAAAAAATCAGACTTTATGTAAATTCTATTCAGAACCAAATAATGGGAAAATGACTGACAACGGTCTGCATAAATTAAACCCTAACTCTCAATATTATTTTAATAATAACACTGCTACTGAAAACGTGTAGTTGGATGAGCTACTTTTTCCAAATAAAAGTTGTTTAAAGTTCTTCATCTATTCTCAATTGAATGCTCAATCTCTGTATGAATCCTCCAAGAAACCTGTATATGATACAAACATAACAGTCTGAGGTCTCATATTTCCCATGGGCTACACTTTCATCCCTCTCTCTCTCTCTCTCCCCCCCGTCTCTCTCTCTCTCTCTCTCTCTCTCTCTCTCTCTCTCTCTCTCTCTCTCTCTCTCTCTCACTCTCTCTCTCTCTCTCTCTCTCTCTCTCTTTCTCTTTCTCTTTCTTTCCCTCACCAGACCACCTCCAGCACCACTGCCCAAAGAAGGTGCTCACACTCCTCTTTCAAGAATCTGTTGAGTTCAGAATCTACCGAAACTTTGGATCTCAAACACAAACATATTTTATTCAAAGGGTGTTCGTAATCACAAATAAATAGCATTTGTGTCGATGAGCGCAGAACAGAGCAGAGCTGGGGGAGAGAGAGAGAGAGAGGAGCCTATCTCAGACAGGAGCAGATAGCTAGTAGATATGATTCCCCGATAAGGAGCCGTAATTTGGCTTTTAGACATAGCTCCGGGGGCCGCTGTGCAGAGCCCCACCGCTGATTTACTGTGTGTACCCATGTGAGTGTGTTTTTTTTGTTTAAAAAATGTTTTATCTCTGGCATTGAAGAGCTTTTCATCTCTGATGATTTTCTCCCTTTTTTATGTATTTTCCCCAGAAGGTGAGATCACAAACCCACAGAAGGCAGAGGGGCATGTTTTAAAGCGATGGACAAAATACAAATATTTGAAAATGTATTTCATGGAAATTATGTCAAGTTTCATGGCCCTGGCACAGTACTGAGGCACAGCCTGGATGCTTTAATTTGTATAGAAATTGTAATCATTTGTTCATTTCAAGGTGAAAATTGCATTTTTTAATTTAAATTGTATCCTGCATGATAGGCTATTATCTAGAAAAATGGTCTCTGTGTATGGTGGTCTATGCTCAGGCGTCACGCCTGTTAGGAGCCCACTTCTCCTGAGAAAGGACTTATGTATGTATCTCCTGACTGAATCCACCTAGTTTGTTCTTTACTTAGGGGCTGCCACTGTCTGCACTCATTTCCATTTTAGTTATTAATATTAATTAGTCTGAGAGCACTGCACAGATTTTAAATGTAAATGAAGCTGGGCTTCACAGTGATTTTTATCTCACTCCCATCTCTTAGATTTACAACTTCACTTGGCCTTTTTCTCCCTCATCTCCTTTTCAAACTCCTTCATGGGAGGTTGTGTGTGTGTGTGCGTGTGTGTGTGTGTGTGTGTGTGTGTGTGTGTGTGTGTGAGATGTGAGGTGTTTGTGTGTGTCTGTGGGATCCTAGAGGTGACGAACAGAAAGCTGCGGCTCAGGTACACAGCCTATCCTGGAATAATTACAGGATTTGGGGGATTATTATACTGTAAGTGCTTTCATGGTGACAGCTGGGAGCTTTTTTAGTCCCTATGACACATAAGCTCAAAGAATAAAACCCAGTCTTCCTAAAGCCTGTCTTAATCATTCCTCAGCATGTACCTACACAAGGCTTTGAACCCTCGCTGAGAATACTATTAGAATACTGTTATCATATTCCAGATTAATCATCTATCATTATGGAATTTTGATTTCTTTAAACGCACCCCCAACGTCTTATGACCATATTTAGATGATGTTTTGATGATTATTTGTATTTTTGTTCCATATACTTTCTGGGACCTATTACAGGTAGAAGGTTTCCTCATGAAGGAGACCTCTCACTGGTTGTTTCCTTCCTACCTTTCCTCCTCATTCTCCACGCCTCTCAACCGCTCCTTCTTCAATTGCAGGTTTTACATTACAGCATGGCCAAGGTCCTAAATGAGATCTAAATGACTGCCTCTATGACTCACTCTGGAAGTGTGTGGCTGGCTGGGCTGTACTGTAGCAGTGACTTCTCCATCCGTCCCTGACTGCCTCCTGAGTGATAGGGCCCTTCGTCCCCTCTCTCCACTCTGAGGCTCAGGAGTTTCATTTCCATCCCTGTGATCTAAACAAACCCATTACCTCCAGCAGCAACGTAGCGCTGCACCGGGCAGGACACAAGCCCCAAACCATGGGCCAAGGGACTGACTGACTGACTGACTGACACAGCCCAGAGCTAAGCCACCGTGGCACACCGCACAGCCACCTTCAATGGCCATACGTCTGTATTGGAGAGCTATATAGTCAAGCCCTCTGCACTTTATCTAAACCATTCCAGAGAGGCGAGGGGAATCGGCTCTTGTGGGTTCTGTTCATCCACTGCTCCTGTAGTCAATCAATTAGGGGATCAAAGGAGGAGAAGAGTGAAGTGTCACAAAGCTTCTCCCACCCACAGCTGGCTGGGGCTGCCACCTCGGCCCTCGTCCCTATCTGAGTGACAGTAGCCCAGAGGAAAACAACAGTCCCAGGCTGGGACTTCAGGACCACATGTCAGACCAGAGGGGACAATCAGAACACATGCATAGGTTTGATCTGGACAACCACAACACACATTTTTGAAGGATAGGGTTGACCATGACACACACTGAGGAAAGATCCTGAAAACAATACATATTGGAGCAAAGTCAGGACCTATCCACCGAGGTCCAGTGGCATATATGACAACTAGGTCTGGTATCAGTTCTTAAAAATGTTACTATAGTACAATTTCCTGTCCTCTTGTCTAACAATTTACTGAATTGATAGTTCAACAAATTAAATACATTAAATTAAAATCTTAACATAAATTCCCCAAATTACCAATACCTTCAATTCTCTCACTTCAGTCACACAACTCTTTTTATTTCTCCTATGAAATAGATTTTCAAATTTACAATTTTTACTCAAGTTATATACTGTTATTCACATATACAGTACCTTTTAACTGTGCAGCAATCTACACTGTTAGCTTTCTTAAGAATATTTGTCAAAACAACTTCTTTGTTTCTTTGTTGTTCGATTCTAGCTAAAGGTTTTGAGCATCTAATTTTCAATGAATTCTTTGTTCTTCACTTTTAGGTTTGAATAACCACTGAATAAAACATTTTTAATTACATTTCTTATAAATTAATGTGTGTTAATGTGTTTCAATTGCAAATTAATTAATTAAATGTACAATATTCCTGATGAGAATAAATTAGCATAGAACGCCATTCATCTTGTTTTCATAAAATACAGCATAATGTATTTTAAAGAAGTAGGAAATTGTATGCTGTTTTAAAAAAAAACTAACAATATGTGTTAATTCATGTATGAGAATTGATCTAAAGTAGGCCTACCCTGCTGGTGATTTGTCCTCAATATTGCATTTTGAAAAAGGTATAATGGATAGTTCAGTTTGGTCTAGTGGTAGCACTGCCAAATCCAGACGACGTATTGCCCCTCAGAGATAAGGGTTAAATCCTTGAGTTCCCCATTTCACTACTTACAATATATAACTCTCATTTATCCTCTCATTTATTTCCCATCTGTTTCTATCAAGAAAACTGCATGATACATTAAGATAATGGTCTGCTGAAATATGGAAGTGTTCCTAAAATTTAGACATACCTAAAGCGCTATCTACATGCCATTTAACAGTGGTAATGGTAAGAGGAGCTTCACTAGACTGTAATATACAGCACAGCTGACAGTCCCAATGCCACACTGGATGGATTCCTCAGTGCTCCTAGCATACAGCCATGATTTGCTGTGACTGCGTGCAATCATTAACAGACACCATTCCAGAGCATAGCACATGGGCCCCAGACAGTCCCAGACAGTCAGACAGACAACAGGGATGGAGAGGAGATCATAGCTGGACAGTGTACAGAATGAATGACTTCCTACAGCTGTGCTCTGCAGCAGCCCTGACCAGCTCCCTCAGCTAGCACCTCTCTCTACTAGGATCTGGGACTGCTCAGCTCTCTCTCTCACCCACCGCTCACTGGGATGGAAGCAGAGGTGGTCCAAAGGCCCATAGAATGTAATACACACATGTGTCCATGCATGCACACGTGTGTCCTACACACAGAGAAAGTGTGCATTGTAGGGGAGAGAGGTGAAAAGTTCAGATGAATCCCCACCAGGCTGAATACTGAACTTCAGTGGGCATACTTTTTCTTACATAAAAAAGGACCAATTTGAAATCTTTATTTGCCACCTTCATATTGTATTCAAACTGATATGAAACCTCAAAAAAGGACAAAGCGCTTAATATTTTTTAGCTCTTTAATTGATAACAGTTACGCCCGTGTTACAGTAAACACACCAACAGGCTGAAGGTAGTAAATACCAATACAAGTTCCCACTACTCTAATACTTCATACAGCAGAATAAATTATACCATGGTAATATACACACATGCGGAACAGGAAGGGGATAAAGCAAAACACAGATGCCATAAAGCAAGTAAACAGGTTAGGAGTCAGGTGTTAGAAATGGATTTGATACACTAGAAGCATTTAAACAAAACAAAACATATTTTTTAAATTTTTATATACACAATAATTGGGCATCATTAAACAGAGCTTTTAGACCAGCCTGGGTTCAGTGCTTCAGTCATCATTACTTTCAATGAGGTGTTCTCCACTGGAGATGTGTGGTCTGGAGCCTGGCTGTGTAAAACCACATTATAGCCAGAGAAACTCACACTGGTCGCGTCCACCGTCCCTATTCTGACCTCTTTCCCTGAAAGGCGAAGGTTTTGGTCCCCCATGACTTCATGGCCATTTCAAAGCTGGGGCTGCTGAACCACTGGACAATGGTTCACATGAGAGAGGTCAGAGTCAGGATAGCTGTGTATGGTCACTAGTAGGTTTGCACTCGGATCATGATCCATAAGAAGCAGTGCGGATGAATACTCATTCCAAATGTCCGGGCTCGCACTTGTAGGTGTGGAATACTAGGTGTCATCTGTCACCATCAAAAGTTTGTCAGAGTCTCTCCGAGAACGGAGAAGAGAGAGAGAGAGACGAGAGCGACGAGAATTAGCACAACGGGACTCTTGCTCTCTATTACTCTCTCTCTCACTCTCATCGCTATCGTATATTCTGCTCTCTCTCTCCTCTCTTCTCTCTCTCATACTCCTCTCTCTCTCTCTCTCTCTCTCTCTCTCGCTCGACTAATCTCAATCCACTGAGTTGAGTATCAACCTCGTTTATACAATTATTAACTTGAGGAAGATTAATGGAATTGTCTCCTAATTTACTATACAGAATCCCCTACTTAGCTTGGCGCAGAACACTGCATTTTGGTTGAAAGAAATCCATACAATATAACACAACCAAAAACAACAGAAGGAAACCAGTAAAGAAAACTAAAAAATACCTTGACTTCCGCAGATCCCTTGCTTAACTACCACTGAACATTGTTGTTGTTTTAGTATAAAACATACTCTTTATAAACAAACAATTCACAATCTGCTACTGTACAATTTCCAGTTAAAGGCGACAAAGGGCTAAATCCTTATTTGGAATATGCATATGTAACTCACTCCAACTTTTACAAACATTTTGCTAAAATCATACACGGATATCAATGTGAGATTGGTGTGAAAGTTCAAGTTAGAATTCAGCCCAAAATAGATTGTGTCAAAAGTCAACTATGAGTGCTACACAAATGTTTAATATTAGCTATTCTTAAAAAATGGTTTGTTTTTGTACATTTCTGTGAGTGCGTCGGTCAAAGTAGGAGTTGAATGTCCAGGGGATTAGAAGGTGGCGGATCCGATCGGAGCCAGAGAGGGGGCCAGCCAGGGCTGTTACCTGTGCCCTTTCACAATTGAAAGGATTATTTGATTTGACAAAGTGCATGTGAATGGCACAGCTTGTGTACTCTTAATCTCATCACGGGCAGAGAAGGAATGTGACTGGCATTAGTCAGCCATGCTGGAGGAATGTTTCAGAGGAATGCACATTTGCTCCAAACCAACATGGTAAACAGCTACATGTGCTTTTATGTCTTAATTAATCAAAGAAAATACAAAACCTGGCTGGTAATGAGTAGGGTCATTTAAAATGAGCTTTGACACTATGTTGGTGTTGTTTAATCTCCTTTACTCTCTTAAAGTCATATAGAGCTCTGTGGCAGATGGGGTTTGGGTAGGGGGTTTAGTCCTCCTTGGCAAGTTCCATATTTCTAAACCAAATACATTAATTTCGCCAATCCTGTTTTTACAAACAATACCCTCCTCCCCATGGAGTACAGCTAAGGATGGATGTTGGGAGGGGGGAAGCCATTGGCCGCCAAACCTCTGCTAATTCCCAGTAGAATCCGCACAGCCAGACTTCCCACTGAGTGGCCAAGTTCTTTAGGAATGTCAAGTTGAATATGAAAGCGGGAAGGTCAAATCGCTCAGGAACATTAGAGCTCAGGGAACAGGTGGAGGAACAGCAGCCTGGAAAACAATCAGCTTCTCTCTCTGACTGGACCGACACACACACACACACACCCTGCACCACACCACATCACCTCAGTCATCTGCTAGCATTTCACACCCACAGAGAAAATAACTATGAAGGGAATAACAAAAAGCAACAGAATCACATTAATCAGAATCGTAACAGCAATAATAATATTAACAATATTGATTTTAAAAAAACAAGAGTGATAATAATTTGAATGACATTGGCTTAGTGAACTACTATAAACAACAAGGTCAATGTACATTTGGAAGTGGCTCTGAGTGTTGTGCTGGACTGCAGCCTGCACCCAGGGGGCGTGTTCTCCATGCTGGCTGGGGCCATCATCACTGGGTTGTCTGGGCAAAGCCAATCAGGGGTGAGGAGGGCACACGGGAGTGGCAGAGCCACGGTTTAGGGGTCTGGGGGTATAGGATCCTGGGGGTATAGGATCGGGCTGCCTGTTGGCTATCCATGGAAAGGCAGTTCTAATGACAAGTCCTCTCATAATCAGGAGTCAAAAAGACACTGACATACACGGACACATCCTGACTGCCTGCAGGGTGGGGAGAGGGAGAGAGTGGTGCAGTGGTTAGGCTGCAGGGTGGTGTATGTTAGGGGGGTGTTGAGTTTAGACTGGGTGGAGCCAGGTGGAGGCCGGGGTGTTTCAGTAGGCCTGTCCCGTCTCCACCTGCAGCAGTCCCAGGACAGCAGAGTGGTCTCCCAGCTTCATCCTCCTCTGGGTGGACAGACTCACATTCTTAGCCAGGTAGTCCACTGCAGCTGGAGAGAACAGACACACAGACACACGTGAACATGTGAGGGATAAACACACATAAATATGCATGCATGCACGACACGCACAAATAAATATACACGCACGCATGCAAACATGCACCCAAGCATGTGGCACACGCACGCACACATACACACACACATACACACTGACTGGTGGACAACTCCTAAAACAAACCCCTTTCTGTCCTTGTTGTTCACTGGCATTTCATCTCTCTTTCTGACTCTGTTCAAAATGAGTTGTGGCAGAACCAAGTGGAGTAAAATGAGAAATAATTCGAAAACAAAACAATCTCGCTCCCTTGCCCTGTCTGAGGTTGGCACAGACTTGGCACGGGGCATGTGCCACCTCATAGTGTCTCCATGCTGTCAGTCAGCATGGTCCCAGAGTGTATTGTGTGTGCCAGTCTTCATTACACTTGGCATCTCTGATTTCATGCCCTCCACACTCCCTATCCCGGATCATTTTCATCAGTAGACAGCAGCACTCTCTTCTCTCCTCCATTCATTAGCCAGCCACTGTGCTCAATCACTGTCTTAATTAACCACAGATCAGATCACATCCACACCGCCATCAGTCTCTCTGCTCTGCTCTGCAAGCTGGCTGATAATAACACTACAGTCACACACACACACACACACACACACACACACACACACACACACACACACACACACACACACACACACACACACACACACACACACACACACACACACACACACACACACCTAAACAAACACACACTGGTATACAAACAGGACCAAAGGGAGGCTGGCTGGGGAAGTGTGCTTCAGTTTACCCCTTATGAAGGGTTGTGACAGCATCAGTCAATAATTATGTTAATCTAATAGATCAGCCTGTTTCCTGTCCCGAGGTGTGTGTGTGTGTGTGTGTGTGTGTTGTGTGTGTGTGTGTGTGTGTGTGTGTGTGTGTGTGTGTGTGAGAGAGAGAGAGAGAGAGAGAGAGAGAGAGAGAGAGAGAGAGACAGGGGTGGCTAAGAGGACAGTGTGCCCCTCAGGGTGACTTAGTGCCTTTGAAGTGGCCCTCTCCTTGTTCCCAGCCAAGCAGAGCAGAGTGGGGTGTGACTAAGCCAGGCAGCACCGGAGGGGAATCAGAGGCCTTTATCAGACAGACCAGGAGTCAAAGGTCATGGGGCAGCTCGGCCCGGGAGGTGGTGGTGGTGGGCACCATTTCCTCTAACTACCATATCATATGAGGTGGAAGACATGCAGGAGACTTGTATTGGTGAGGAGGTCAGATGGGAAAGGCAAAGGACAACCCCCCCATATACATTCACACACACTCACTTTCTCACGTTTACACATAAATGCAGATGCAGTACTTACTCTGTCCATACTGGCTGTACTGGTATCCGGCGGTGACGGGGTCCATACTGTAGCTGGTGGCGCTGTAGGTAGGGGGGCAGTAGGACTGGGAGGAGGCCAGGCTGTCCACCCCCTTGATGGAGTCAGAGCGCTGGCTGCAGCTGGCTGAGATGGAATTGGAGGACTCCAGGCTGCCGTGGAGGGGGGAGATGGAGAAGTCATGCTGGGACTGGGAGGGCACGGCGCTGGGGTTACTCAGGATGCTCATCACCTGGGGAGGGCAGAAGGGAGACAGAGGGGGAGTTAGAGAGGCCCAGGTCCTAAACAACACATGGATGGGATTGAGTGACTGCACCAGCAAGTTGCAGCAAACACTGGGAGTTATCACATTATTGAGTTGTACAGAAGCAGCTTAAAAAACACCCATTTAACTTTGAAACATGGACCAAGAAAAAAGTATTGAAGACACAAAAAAAGGAAAGGGGGGGCAGCGTGGGGACAGCGCGAGGACAGCGCGGGGACAGCGCGGGGACAGCGCGGGGACAGCATGGGGACAGTGTGGGGACAGCGTGGGGACAGAGTGGGGACAGTGTGGGGACAGCGCGAGGACAGCGTGGGGACAGCGTGGGGACAGCGTGGGGGCAGAGTGGGGACAGTGTGGGGACAGCGCGAGGACAGCGTGGGGACAGCGCGGGGACAGCATGGGGACAGCGTGGGGGCAGCATGGGGACAGCGTGGGGACAGCATGAGGACAGTGTGGGGGCAGAGTGGGGACAGCATGGGTACAGCGTGAGGACAGTGTGGGGACAGCGTGGGGACAGAAGGGTCTCAGAGTGATAATAGAACCACCAGCAGTGCCAGACAGCCCCTGTATGTCCCAGAGCCTGGGGGCCAGAGGAGGCCTGAGGCCTACACCACAACAAGCACTGAGGGAGTCCCTAATCCCCAGCCCCTTGCCTAGCTATCTCATGAATAGTAATGGCGTTGGAAGCAGTACACGATCCCCTTAGATCAGATCCCCACAGAAATAGGCTCCACAAGCCTCACCGAAGACCTACTGCTAGTATGAGTTAGGGTTACGGCTAGGGTAAGTATTAGGAGTGTTATTTATACAGCATGAGTGCATTTATTTTATACTCTGTAATATAATTTCATATTAATCTACAGATGTAGGATCTTAATTTGATTACTCTTTTGTTTTTTTTGCATAGCAGGAAATGCAAACTTGTAGTGTATTTGAGGTTTAAAAAACGTTGAAAGTGTAATTTCCACTTTGAAATTTCAGACTTGATTTGCCCTAATGAGAAATGTGTCAAATCCTACAAAAGAATGTCCATTAATTATAATCCACATAATAATTTACATTTCCTGTTGCTGTAGGATCATTTTCCTACTGTAGCAAACTGGTTCAAATGAAGATCCTACATCTGTATTTAATGATGAGTTAACAAATAATAATCCACTAGTGCTATGGATATGATTATCTCCATTAGACTAGAGGCACAGGCATCACCACAACGCAGTGCAGTTGGAGGTTTCTACTGAGCTTCTGCCCTAAACTGAAAATGTAGAATTAGACTTATATTTCCCTTTTAGGAAAGCAGAGAGGGGGAGACTGTTAATGGGGGAGAATGGGGGAATTGGTCCCACACATGCTTCCCTTCTATTGCATGGAAGCATCCTCCCCAACATCAGGTTCACGTTGTGTCTCGCTACGCTGGGCTGGCCTTTGGCGCTTTGGCTGCTAAACCAATTAGCCCATCATGGAGGTGGTTACACACACACACACAAAAAGGTTTAAACACAGTTCACAGAGCTGATGCTGTGGTGCAAAATATCCTACAGAAGGACAGGGCTCCAGTCAATCTCCAGAGTGGACATCTAATAAACCTTTATACTGTAGAACGTCTTCACTGCATACGTATGCAGTCATACTGCTCAGCGATGCATAGCCACACACACACACAGCATAAAGAAAATTGATCTTATTCCACAAATTAATCATATTCTGAAAAAAAAATAGTTTCTGAGGAAATATGAAGCACTTGAGGCACATCAGAGACATAAAGGCTGGTTAGTGATTTCCTCATGTTAATTCTATCAGCATGGAAACCCCCAGCATCCTCCAGCCCCACCACTTATTCATACAGAACATGTGACATGTATCCATAAGAGGGACATTCATGGCTCTCTGCATGCAGGACACATGGGATGCTCCCATATGGACCGGAGCTGCAGAACAGACTCAGTATGAAACCTCCTGTCCCCTGCTGTGTTGTGCTGTGCTGGTCATGTGACGTGGGTGTGGGGAAGTGCTAGTCGGGGGTCCAGTGAGACAGCTGGAGGGGGTGGGCCAGATATAGTCATCAGTTAATTGAAGCTTGATTATATCGCTTCCTTATTTAAACACATAAAAATAATAAAACAGCCAACAATCAGGGGCTGTGCTCGAATCAGCCTTATTACTATTCATAGGTTTAACTAGTTCCACAAAAGAGAAGGCCACTTTTCATGAACAATTTTATAATGTATTTTTTTCCTCAAGATTGCAAAGAAGTTTGTCGTTGTATAAAATAGAGTATCGTCTGGAAGGTTGTATCCTTGAGATGCCCTTCCTAAAATCACTCACATGATTTTGGTAAACTTTTGCTGGAGGGGGGAAAGGTAAACTCCTCGATTGAGCCGGGTTCATATTAGCTATCTGCAATGTTTTCACACAGCTAAATAAAAATCAATGCCATGTCACCACATCCCCTTATTATCTGATGTGGGTGGAGATATGGATGATGTGGGTTATCAGCTGCAGGGTGAAAAACACACCCTCAACAGGCCTTTAGCCCTGCTCTGCTCCAGAACAACACCACTCAATACACACTTAACTAACACCCTCACTCCCTTTCAGAACAGTCCTCCACTACACCCCTGCCTCCCCCCCCCCCCTCTCTCTCTCTGTACGGCTTCCTCAGTGTTTGTTTGTTGTTATACTTTGTGCTATGGCTGTTGGAGGAGATAATGTGAGCCAGGAGCAGTTTAAAGGACACTGCTCCAGGCCGTCCCCTGCCTCGCTCTCTACAGATAGATTACTTTATAAATAATAATAAAAAACAAATTAATTCTCTCAACTTCTGAGCCCTCTAGCCCCGCGGCGGAGTGAAAGGAGAACTGTAAGTTGATACAATGTGCATCCTTTCAGATAAATAAATAGAGCATTTGCAACACAAAAAGATGTTCTTTCATACCCTGCTAATTTCCTTAACAGTCTAATTATATTTTTGTGTCTGCTTAAATGTTTGACGAGCCTTTGCTCTTTGTTGGATTTGCTTCCAGAATAAAATAATTTGACTTGCTGTGAGGAAGTTGACTGACTGAGAAAGCGGAAGTCAATATTTCCTTAGGCTACAACAAAAGAGGAAAAAATTGCATCATTTTCTTACATTCAATACTCACTAAATTCCCCACAGTGACATATTCAAGCCACAGTTTCAAAGAGATGCCTTCCGTCACAATGTTATTTACTACCCTTCATTATCACTATTTATGAAGTACCAAATGTAATATCCCTAAACAATATTTCAATTATATCTTTACAGTCATGTAATGTGCTATGCCCATCTTAAACCTTGATTGACCACAGAGAGCTTCAAGTTCCTTGGTGTCCACTTCGCTAAGGACCTCATGGTCCAAACGCACCAACACAGTCGTGAAGAGGGTACGACAATGCCGCTTCCCCCTAAGGAGGCTGAAAATATTTGGCATGGCCCTCAGATCCTTAAAAAGTTATACAGCTGCACCATTGAGAGCATCTTTATTGGCTGCATCACCGCTTGGTATGGCAACTGCTCAGCATCCGACCGCAAGGCGCTACAGAGGGTAGCGCGTACGGCCCAGCACATCACTGGGGTCGAACTCCCTGCCATCCAGGACGTCTATACCAGGCGATGTCAGAGGAAGGCCCTAAAAATGTTATACGATTCCAGCCAGCCAAGTCATAGACTGTTCTCTCTGCTACCGCACGGCAAACGGTACAGGAGCGCTAAGTCTGGGACCAAAAGGCTCCAGAACAGCTTCTACCCCCAAGCCATAAGACTACTAAATAATTAACCAAAACTACCCAAACTATCTGCATTGACCTTTTTTGACCTAACTCTTTTTGACTCTATGTACACACACTGGACTCTACCCACACACTCACACATAACATGTACACAGAAGCACACATTCGCCACACACACACTTCCACACTTCCACACTGTTTATTATCTATCCTGTTGCCTAGTCACTTTACCCCTACCTACAGTGCATTCGGAAAGTATTCAGACCACTTGACTTGTTCCACATTTGTTACGTTACAGCCTTATTCTAAAATTGATTAAAAAAACAAAAATCTCATCAATTTACACACAATGCTCCATAATGACAAAGTGAAAACAGGTTTTTAGCTATTTTTGCAAATGTATAAAAATAAACAAACAGAAATACCTTATTTACATAAGTATTCAGACCCTTTGCTATGAGACACAAAATTGAGCTCAGGTGCATCCTGTTTCCATTGATCATCCTTGAGATGTTTTTACAACTTGATTGGAGTCCAACTGTGGTAAATTCAATTGATTGGACATGATTTGGTAAGGCACACACCTGTCTATATAAGGTCCCACAGTTGACAGTGCATGTCAGAACAAAAACCAAGCCATGAGGTCGAAGGTATTGTCCTTAGAGCTCCGAGACAGGATTGTGTCGAGGCACAGATCTGGGGAAGGGTACCAAAAAATGTCTGCAGCATTGAAGGTCCCCAAGAACACAGTGGCCTCCATCATTCTTAAATGGAAGAAGTTTGGAACCACCAAGACTCTTCCTAGAGCTGGCCGCCCGGCCAAACTGAGCAATCGGGGGGAAAGGGCCTTGGTCAGGGAGGTGACCAAGAACCTGATGGTCACTCTGACAGAGCTCCAGAGTTCCTCTGTGGAGATGGGAGAACCTTCCAGAAGGACAAACATCTCTGCAGCACTCCACCAATCAGGCCTTTATGGTAGAGTGGCCAGATGGAAGCCACTCCTCAGTAAAAGGCACATGACAGCCCGCTTGGAGTTTGTCAAAGGGCACCTAAAGGACTCTCAGACATGATAAACAAGATTATCTGGTCTGATGAAACCAAGATTGAACTCTTTGGCCTGAATGCCAAGCGTCACATCTGGAGGAAACCTGGTACCATCCCTACGGTGAAGCATGGTGCTGGCAGCATCATGCTGTGGGGATGTTTTTCAGCAGCAGGGACTGGGAGACTAGTCAGGATCGAGGGAAAGATGAACGGAACAAAGTACAGAGAGATCCTTGATGAAAACCAGCTCCAGAGCACTCAGGACCTCAGACTGGGGCAAAGGTTCACCTTCCAACAGGACAACGACCCTAAGCACACAGCCAAGACAACGCAGGAGTGTCTTTCGGGACAAACCTCTGAATGTCCTTGAGTGGCCCAGCCAGAGCCCGGACTTGAACCCGATCTAACATCTCTGGAGAGACCTGAAAATAGCTGTGCAGCTTCGCTTCCCATCCAATCTGACAGAGCTTGAGAGGATCTGCAGAGAAGAATGGGAGAAACTCCCCAAATACAGGTGTGCCAAGCATGTAGCGTCATACCCAAGAAGACACGAGGCTGTAATCGCTGCCAAAGTTGCTTCAAGAAAGTACTGAGTAAAGGGTCTGAATACTTACGTAAATGTGATATTTCAGTTTTTTATTTTTAATACATTTGCTAAAATTCCTAAAAACCTGTTTTTGATTTGTCATTTTGGGGTATTGTGTGCAGATTGATGAGGGAAAAATCTATTTAATCCATTTAAGAATAAGGTTGTAACGTAACAAAATGTGGAAAAAGTCAACGGGTCTGAATACTTTCCAAATGCACTGTATATGTACATATCTACCTCAATTACCTCATACCACTGCACATTGACTCTGTACTGGTACCCCATGTATATAGCCAAGCTATCATTGCTCATTGTGTATTTATTCCTTGTGTATTAAAAATAAAAATAAAAATAAATCATATGTATTTGTTATTGCATACTGCATTGTTGGGAAGGGCCCATAAGTAAGCATTTCACTGTCAGTCTACACCTGTTGTTTACGAAGCATGTGACAATGAAAATGTAATTGTATTTGATCAGGTCAGAATGCACCTGTGCTCACTGTTTATCCAGTGACCTGCAATAGCAACAGACAGATGAAAATGTTCACTATACTTGTACATTTTTTAATTTTCACTAAAATATTTCACAGACAAAGTTTTTGCATCTGAAAGAAATAGTGATACAGTATAAGCAAAAGAGAGAAAGAGATGTAAAGCGAGGGGAAAGAGGAGAGAGAAGTGACAGAAAGAGAGAGTGTAAGAGAGAGGATTTGGGAAGTACAAAGACTCCTCTAGGACTAAAGTTGGCCTGAGGGCCAGCCTGCCTGGAGAGCTGATAGGACAGCCCTGTGTTCCATTCCCGGCGCCCGCGCCAACACACCCCACTCCACAAACACTGCTCTTAATCTGCGCAAGACTGGATTAGCTCCCCTGTCACCGATCGCTCCCCGTTCTGCCAAAATCGAATGCCCCCAAGACGTACCTTTAAGTTCGGCAGAGGTCACCGGGGCAGAGAGGAGAAAATAAACACTAAATATCTGGAAGTTATCTGAGGGGCGCAGAATAACATCTCACACCTTGGCAGATCTGCCTGGCTGATACACGCCTCAGCTGGGAATCACTTCAGATCAGGGATGATGATGACACCAAATTTGGGTCGATTTTTCAAGGCCAGTCCTGAGGGTGTGATTACAGAGAATAAATGTATGGTTGAATTCACTGACCTATAAGTCAAGTAAATTGAGTATACTGTCTGGTTAGTGTTGGTTGATTGAGGAACCAAATATATGTAAATAGAAAATAATTCAAACTTGGGCAATGACTAAAATGATGAGGAATATCCCATATCAAATATGGAATATTTTACAATTATTTCTGAGAACTGATTAAAATAAACTTTGATGCCCATATTACTCCAAATCTATTTTAAACTTTATTTTACTGATCAATTCAAGAATGCAGGGTAAAATGATTTTGCAATGAACAAAATGAAATCAAACTTACAAATCAAATAAACAACAGCATAAATTCCTTCATTTTGAAAACAACTAGGAAAGAGAATAAAATATTTAAAGATCAAGGACTTTTTCTAGAGTCAATGGACCAGTGCAACCCCAAGTCCACCCCTCCCTCTCTCCCCCTCATCCCTCCTTCTCACATGAGAGGTGCAGCCCAGCGGGCAGTAAGGCCCCTCATCTGAGCAGACAAAATGACTATTTAAAAATAACAGCGATTGCATAAATTGAATTAGTGCGTTTTGGTCATGGTGGAGGTGGTGGGAGCGGTGTGGGGCCAGGACGCAGACAGCTGCGTTGGTGGCAGGCAGCAGATGACGGGCCCTGGCCTGCGTGTCAGTGCGTTAATTGGCCGCGGCACGTTAATCAAAAGTGAAAAGTGTCTTCCGCCGCCAATGCTATGGGACAAGGAGAGACAGAGACAGGATGAAGAGAGAGACAGGATGGGGAGTAGAGAGAGTGGAGGGAGAGAGAGAGAGAAATAGGTATTTGAAGAGCTTGGGGTGTATGGCAGGGAAGGGGGGGTGTTAATTGTGTTCAATTAAGTGTCTGATTGGCACTGACAGAATCTGGGCATTGACATGCCGGGCACAGATGAGGATGATTAGCGGGCATTGGAACAAGCTGTCACTTCTCACAACATTAGCCATACTACCACAGTGTCCCTATGTCTCTCCACTAAGCTCTCTAGCACTTCTCTCCACAAACACTGAGCTGCACCATTTTATCAAACAGATAAACTGGAGACCTAAACAAGCAGAATATCAAACGAAATTCCACAAGATCTTAAAGCTAGAATCCTTAATTGAAACCATTACAAAGTATGCTCCCCACCTGTTTTGCAAAAAAGCTAAGGGAGAGACTGGGGTGCAAGGACTGACCATCCATGATATCAAATGTATAATTTTAACCATGTTTTGAGGCTATACAGTGTTGTTTACATTTACATTGTTTACAAACATTGAGGTAAAACAAGCTTATATTTTGGGTTCTAAGCTCATAAGGCATTTATAAATTATATTCTTCAAGAATCAATGGGTATATATCATTAATTTATAAGTCCAAAAATGGATGTAGCAAGCAATGTTTCATAAAATGTAATTGGAGAATAATAGCTTTGTAATAGATTTGATTAAATGCATTTTCTTCTCTGACCCATTCCCTGCCCCCACGCGTCTTCTCTATCCTTGTGTTCAATGGAGCACAGCTGCCTGCTACTAGCCAGAGAAAGGACTCCCTTCCTCCTAAACGGCCCACTGTGCACGCAGGGCCCCTCACTAACCAGAGGTTACGTCTATTGGGCTGCAATTGGAGAACGTGTGGGGAGCAATCCTCTATTCTCTGCTAGTGATATGCTTGACTTACTATGGGATGGATTCAGCCACCAGGAACAAGAGCAACCCACTCCAATACAAACACATACACACACACAAACACACACACACACACACACACACTGCAACTCACCTCGCACCACCGCCTCTGCCAAATTAAACGGCAGATTTTCTGATTCCACCAGAGTGGTTTCAGTGAGGCAGGGCTGTGTGTATGAGGGAGCAGCTCGGAGAAGAAAGCGAGGCGGATCGGGGGGGGGGGGGGGGGGGGCTGTTTGCTAAAACCAGCAGGAGCCAGGCCTACTGAAAAATGTCAGGTCAAATTGTTCTTGACAGTGTTAATATCTGCACCTCATAGTCATAATTACATGTAAATAAATAGTGAAATAGCTCTCAGCTGGAGATTGAGAGGAACGGGCTGCCACACAAGACAACCAGCTGGGGACCAAACCACCTCGCATATTCTCATTTGCACACGAGAAGGAATAAGAGAGAGAGAGAGAGAGAGAGAGAGCGAGAGAAATAAACAATGTTTATGTGTAAAGTTTACAAAATACAGTATCTTAAGTAACACATTCTATTTTTATTTAGTGACAGGGTGCCAATGAGGGACTCAGAAAGAGAGAGAGAAAGACAGAGGGAGAGAGAGAGAGTGAGTGAGTGAGAGAGAGAGAGAGAGAGAGAGAGAGAGAGAGAGAGAGAGAGAGAGAGAGAGAGAGAGAGAGAGAGAGAGCGAGAGAGAGAGAGAGAGAGAGAGAGAGAGAGAGAGAGAGAGAGAGAGAGAGAGAGCGAGAGAGAGAGCGAGAGAGAGAGAAAGAGAGAGAGAGAGAGATATGGCCAGAGACAGAGTATTAATCACGTCCATGCACCTGTCAGAGAGGCATCTGGAACTAACAGGAAACACATACAGCCAGACAACATCCCCAACCTCCAGAAGGCTAGCAGGGCAGGTTGACTGCAGCCCGGCCCTGCTGCGACGCTGCCATCCCCTGACCCCTCCCACAGAGGTCACAACAGTGTGCATACCTCATACACCAGACTTCACTTCACCTGCCTCCTCAGCATTAACACTTCCCGCTCCAACAAGGGGAAGGTAAGAGACTGTAAATATTAATATTAATAATAATAATGATAATACTTGGTTATAATAATATGAAATAGAGTAGAAGAAAACCAATACATTATTTGCAATGAAAAATAATGCCACAAATCTATGGAATAAAACTTATTCAGCATGTTCCACAGTGTACGCCGGTGTGTAATTGGTATTCAAGATAGGATCGATGTATGTGCCTATACTTTAATAAAGGCAATACCATTCTCCATCTTATAGGCATTTTGTCTGTGTGGGACACACATGTGAATCAGTCTCAGTCATTTCCTACTTAAATCCTCAACTTCTAGAATTTACTGAAATGTACGTATATTGGCTGCCTCTGCAAGATAAATGTAAATCCCATTCCCTTATAATGACTATTTATTAGGATGCAACAGCTCACTTTCTGCAGGAAATATCTCTCACCCGCACACAAACACCCTTGCATTTAAATAGCATTTTTATTGTCCGCCATAGCCTTTCATCTGGGTGTGGGGAGAAGAGAGCGACGGAAAGAGAAAGAGAGACCTAAGAGGGAAGGAGGATAGAAAACAAAGTAAAAAAAAAGGGGAAAGGCAGAGAAAAAATACGCGAAGAAAGAGAACGGGAGAGGGAAAAGAGGAGAGAGCAGAGAGAAGAGAGGAAGAGAAAAGAGGAGAAGATAGAGAAGAGAGAAGGGAGAGGGGAGAGAGAGAAGAAGGAAGGAAGAGAGAAGAGCGAGGGGGAAAGAAGGGGAGGAAAAAGGGGGAGAAGAAGAAGGGGGAGAAGGAAACGACGAAGAAAGAGTAGAGGGAGGAGATAGAGAAGAGAGAGGAGGCTAAAGAAAAGAGAGAAAAGGAAAAGGAAAATTTGGTTTAATAAAAGGAAGGAAGAAGGAAGAGATCGCCAAGAAGAAGGGCAAAGGAGAGAAAGAGATAGGAAATGAAAAAAGAGAGATAGAGAGGGTATAGGCAAAGGGGAATAAAAAAAAGGGGTTTTGGAGAAAATGACCAAAAAAAAAATAAGAGAGGAAGAGGAAAGAGAAAAATGTACTATTGGGGGGGGAATTTTTCAAAAAAAAAAAGAGGAAAGGTTAAGGGGAAAATATTTAATAAATAAATAAAAACCCCCTAAAAAATTTCTTAAACAAGGCAAAGAGCATTTGGCATTTTGTAAGGGGTTAAGGACTTTCCCCAGGCTGGAACCACCCAGTAAGAGCCCTTACCTGGTTTTGGATACAACCTGTTTGGGAAAACTTTTTTTGCTCTAAAAATCCCAAAAACATAAAACAATTAATCTTATCCCCCCGCTCTCAGACAAAACCCCCCATCGCCAATGTTTTTCTATTTTTGATAGTTTTCCTGAGTTCAGACTGTCAAAAAGGGAACCCAATTTATTAAAACTAAGAAATTGTTTTTTTACACTTCTTGTTTTCTTGGGGGGGCAAACAGGCTTTTTTTTTTTTTCCCTTATCTTTTTTTTTTGCCAAGAAAAATAATTTTTTTTTGGGTTTTTTTAACGCATTTTACCCCCCCCCTTTTGGGGAGGGCTGGGTATGAAGCAGGCATTTGCTCCCTCTTTATTGTTGCATGGGTTGCAGTGACATTGCCCTTTAGGGCTTTCCCCCGGGGGGTTTTTTCCGTTTCGGGGGGGTTTTTTCGGGGGGGGGTGGGCGGTTTTTTTTTTTTTGGGGTTTTTTTTGGCGGTTTTGGGGCCCCCCAAAAAAAACCCGGGCGGGGGGGCCCCGGGGGGAAACCCCCGGACCCTTTGGGGGTCAAAAAGGGGGGGGGGGGGGGGGGGGCAGGGGGGTTGGGGGGAGCCCCGCCCTTTCCCCTGGGGCCCCCGCCCCGACCCCCAAAGCACTAAAGACCACCATTAAAAACCTCATTTTATACATAGCTACATACAGACAAAGCCCCATATCGCCAATGTTTGTACGTGTATGTTTGTGATACCAGCAATCCTTTCCTCCGAGTTCAGACGTGCTAAACAAGCAGCAAGCCCTAATAATCTATGCTAAAACATATAGCCAGTGGATATGATTTACACTCTCTTGATTTTCTTGGCAGCTGCCAAGAGCAGGTCTCGTTTTTTTTTTTTTAAGCCTCTTATATCTTTTTTTATACTTGCCAAATTGAAACAGTATTTGTTTTAATGGGAGTTCTAATTAACGTCTATGTATTCCCCTCTTGCTCTGCGAGAGGCTGAGCTATGAATGCAGGCTATGTGCTCATCCTCTTTGATTAGTTGTCAGTGGAGCTTGCCAGCTGACATGGTGCCTGGTGAGAGGCTTAATGCCCAACTTTTAATAATGTGGGGGACTACATGAATCTCCCTCTCTCATTGGTATTCAGGTGCAGGATGTCTTGTTAGAAGTCAGAGAGGGGGGCGGAATGGAGTCAGAGCTTCAAAATTGTTCCCTCCATTTTCCCTCTATCTGTCTCTCTCCCTCTTTTTGGCAACGACTAGTGTTGGCGTCTTAAACAGAATTCATCCCATTTTTAAAGAAGCGACAGTGCTCGCTAATGGAAGAGAAGAGCGGCAGCGGCAGTTTGGAGTCTCCCCTGGCTTATCTCTGTTAGACAGTTGGGGGAGTCGCTAGTGAGGCGAGCGTAGCGTGGTGTCAGCGTGCGTGGTGTCAGCGTGCGTGGTGTCAGCGTGCGTGGTGTCAGCGTGCGTGGTGCGGTGCAGAGCAGGCGGCCAGGCAGGCCTGGGGACACGGATCAAAGGGAGGCAGGGGTGAGAGCCGCTCTGCCTGCCTCTGATCCCCTGTGCGTGTGTGTGTGTGTGTGTGTGTGTGTGTGTGTGTGTGTGTGTGTGTGTGTGTGTGTGTGATTAGGCCCAGCCCACTCCCACAGCACCACAGGCCCTCCTCACACACATGGTCCCTCTAATTCCAAAACACACGTCCCTTCTAGAACAGGGTAAAACGGAGCGATAACTAACTACCATGATTTAACCAGCAAAGGTGATATTTCTCAAGTTATTGCTTAGAATCCTAACACACATAACCCTTTAAGCTTGTGGAATATCTTATAGTTATCCTTTTTACCATTTTGGATAAATAAATAAAGAAACTGAAAATAATCTATGCTGAATCCATAAGGATTTTTAGCTTTACTATGTGCTTCAATTTGACCTAAACCGGTCCTCTTGTGTGTGGACCTGTTTGATCTATTCCAGGTTTGATCCAAAGGGTCAAATATGTCAAATACTATTTTATTTCACAGTAATAACTGGCAGGTATAGACGTGTTTTTCAGCTATGGTATTACCAACAGCCCACTACACCCTGAGTGTGGTTGATCAACTGACAGTATTTTCCTGTCTGTTATTTCACTCTGAGAGAGACGATGCATCGTGTCCTGCTGTATGTTATTTCACTCTGAGAGAGACGATGCATCGTGTCCCGCTGTATGTTATTTCACTCTGAGAGAGACGATGCATCGTGTCCTGCTGTATGTTATTTCACTCTGAGAGAGACGATGCATCGTGTCCTGCTGTATGTTATTTCACTCTGAGAGAGACGATGCATCGTGTCCCGCTGTATGTTATTTCACTCTGAGAGAGACGATGCATTGTGTCCCGCTGTATGTTATTTCACTCTGAGAGAGACGATGCATCGTGTCCCGCTGTATGTTATCCTCAAATTCAATATCCCAGGATTTGTCTAAACACTTTGCAATGTTTGCACTTCATTACAGAGGGCTTCTTCCCTTGTAAGGTTAGAATTCAAATTCTTAACTCTTGGTACTGTCGAAGCCTCATGAGGAGCAGTTGTTTTCTCCCCTCTCCCAGCAGGTGTCCCTGTCATGCAATAAAGCGGAATTCAGCCCAAACGGCTGCCAAAGAACACAACTCCCAAGAACAGCTAGCGCTTCAAAGGCTTATATGGAGAGACTTAATGGTGTCCGTGGAGTTTCCTATGACCTGATATTGTTTCTGGGGAGGATTTAGACCACCTAAGCTTTGGTTACACTTCCTTTTACAGTGCTGGTTCACCATGCCATAACCAGGTACAGTAGGCTTTGTAAATAAAATGTAACTACCTGTGCTTAAAATGGATAACAGATAGACTGTCGGAACTTGGAACAATTAGAACAATTTCAAGGCTACATTTCATTAGAACAAATGTGAAATTGTATTTATTTTGCTATAAGTTATTGGCCGTGTCCGAATACCCATACTTGCGTTTTAAATAGTAGGCTTTTAGGTATGCGAAAATAGAACGTTTTATAGTATGTGAAATCTTGAAACTTGAGTATGCTTTAAATGCCAGGATGTCATACTCATTTTGGATTTTCATTTAGTCGAATTTTGCTGCACACTGATGAGGAAGAGAATCGTCTTTTCACACCCACGTGAGTTTGACAACAGCTGATAATCAGAATAGGGGACGCGATCTACAAAAATGAATGAATGGCGGGGAACAAGCGCGATTGCACATTAGATGACACCTTCTCAGTATGGATGAGTAGTATGTTGCTATTTGTTGCTTACTGCATACGTTTTTACTAAACAGTATGTTCTAAATAGTCTGTAGTACTATTAGTACACAGTATGCTTTTAAGGACCAGGAAGAGCTAAGTTGTTGTCAATGAGTTCTTCAGTCACGTCTTCATTATTTAACCAATTACTTTCTGGTTATTAAGGTACTGTAAAAGGAATCGCAACTGAAGCTTTCGCCACAGCATGGCATACTTGTTTATATAGCTTGTAACAACTTATAGTATGTCATTGTGAGTATTTAGGGTCATGAAGACTTCCAAAATATCATGTTTCACAAATGAAAAGTTTGGGAAATATTTGTTGTGAACGAAATCCTCTCAGCTCTTCAAACCCAGAGAGTTCCAGGTGACTGACGCAAAAGTCACTCCATCAAAAAAGCAATAATAATGTTTTCAGTCGCTGCTGATATTTCTCCACCTCATACTCCTGGCCTCTATCCAACACCTGCTGTGACACCAAATGAAACAGGAGCAACACAACAACTCTGCTCTCATACCTCTGGCCCAGCCAAGCACAGCTTAACCCATCACCCTGCCCCTGACATAGCTAGTGCCTCTCTCTCAAACCAGCCAAACTTATATCCCACATGACAACAACCCCTGTGCCGGTGTGGATGGCTTTTCCAGCGGCCGTAATGGGAAAACGTGCGCTGTCGGGAAAGGTTATGGGATTGGGATGGGTGCAAGCACCTGTCGGCAATGCTAAACGCAGCAGGATTCCATTACAAACATGGCAGTTGGCCACCGCAGCCCATTTACTGTGAATCACAGAATTTTTGTCAATCTTTACCAGTAAAGGGTAGCCCATCAATACCAGACACTAGAGAAAATAGCTCACCCATACCAACACACAGGCATATCTCCTCCGGACAGATGATGTCTGAAAACCCACAATATAAAATTATCATTTCCATCATGATGGAGAGTCTATTTGTATTGGTTTGTTTTTTCATTACATAGAAGGAGGAAGACAGGAGAGTGAAAACACAGTATATAAACTATCTAATAAAAAAAATCACAGTCCCAATCTACGTGAAACTAAATCTATGTCAACAACAACATTCAAGATGAGATGCATTTGAGAGAACTGAAACGACATCTGTTTAACTACAGACGGATAGAGTTAGACAGGCTGAGTTGTGTGTGTGTGTGTGTGTGTGTGTGTGTGTGAGCAGCAGAACATTGAGGCAGTATGAACACTGATTCCTCTGTCAGAGAACATCCATCTCCACATAGTGAGAGAGTGAAAGGAATGTCACATGGCATACTGTGAGGAGTTAAATATTATTTACATTACATTTTAGTCATTTAGCAGACGCTCTTATCCAGAGCGACTTACAGTTAGTGAGTGCATACATTATTTTAATTTTTTTTCATACTGGCCCCCCGTGGGAATTGAACCCACAACCCTGGCGTTGCAAATGCCATGCTCTACCAACTGAGCTACATCCCTGCCGACCATTCCCTCCCCTACCACGGACGACGCTGGGCCAATTGTGCGCCGCCCCATGGGTCTCCCGGTCGCGGCCGGCTACGACAGAGCCTGGATTCGAACCAGGATCTCTAGTGGCACAGCTAGCACTGCGCCACTCGGGAGACTATTATACCTCCATGTTGGTTTTAAAGCATACCTGTCAAATACCAGTCTTATTAACAACCCAAATAAAATAACACATATATTACAATAAACCACATTCTGCTTAGAAAATTAACAATGTAAAAATTATATGAATCTTTTTTTAGATCGACTTAATATAATTATTGATTTTTGACAGTTATTCAAGGTCCTAATCCCCAGTGCTAAACAGGAAGTGTGTATTATCCAAACACGTAGTGGAATGCTTGGGAAGAGAGGGAGAGAAAGGGAGCTGCTGTATCGTCAGCCCTTATTCAGTACTGTAGAGCCATTAATGAAAAAAGCGGTCCATGTTCCTGGTGTTTTCTGCAGGTTTGCAGTGAGAGCATTAGCACTTAAAGCCCCTGTGCCACAACTAACAATCAAGCATGCTGTGAGCCTCCATGTTATCCTCTGACGCTCCAGCGGGAGAGAAAATCTCATTTTTTGTCACCAAAATCCTTAATTCTTTCTTCCATGAAGAAAGAGGGGTAATACCAAGAATGTTTCCAATCTGCTTTGAGAAATATTTGAAGAAATACAAAAACTCCCAATAAAACACGTGTGAAAGAGGGGGAAATTGCGGACAAATGCAGCAATGAAATTCATTTTCAACTCTTTACACACCATTTCAATCTTATTTTCTGCTTGTTAACCAAATCTTGTTGGTGAGGGTGGGCAAGACTGGCCAGTATTGATGGGTAATTGTGTATAATTAACTCCTTACACATGATTTGCATCAATACAAATCATTTTCCATTCTGTGCAACTTACTTAAGGCTCAACCCCTTACATAGTCACATTTTAAATGCTCATTAATGGAGGTGCCCAAAGAAGATAACGTGGAATCTCCAGCTTTTGAGAAACACACCACACACACACACACACACACACACACACACATGCTAACACACACACATGCACACAGGGGCAAAGCAATTGCATTTTCTACGACAGAAGAGAATTGCTCGGTTAGAGGGGAATCCAATGCCTATTAATTCAAACCCCAATTTGGACAGCGACGCATCTAATTACTCTAATGCTCCAAAGTACTTTCACTGTGTGGAGGGCTGAGAGGAGAGGAGGGAAGGGGAAGCAGCATGACTGGGGGGTTAGGAGGCCATGGAGGGCAGCAGGGTAGCCCTACACAGCCCCTACTCTACAAGCCTACTGTAGCCAGCCATTTCCCCTACAGATAGACACTGCACACAGCCCAGACTCAGAGATGAAGACAATTATCGTACAAGATTAATGGAATACCATATAATACTAAGGTCTACCAACTTCGAACAATTACTTGTAGAAGATTAAGTGCCTACATTTCTAAGCGTTAGCTAATTATTTCATTCACATGTGTTTCTCATGTTCGGAGTAGGATTTTGATGTCCCAGGAAAGTGGAAACTGCTGTTTTGAAGCAGATGTGCCTCTATCAAGATTAATTTTAATTTGTTGATGTTAATCCAATTGTTTTATTATTGTATTAATTTAAATGAGCCAATGAAAACCCAGAGCTTTAGAAGCTCAAATAAAAGACGATGGATCGACATACAGTAGCCTAGTACTGAGTTGATTTTTCTAATTGAATGGTGGTTCAGCAAATTGCAATTATATACATAATTTAAACCTTGGGTCATTGAATCATTAAAATGGTCAGATGTCTATATCAGAAGCATTTTTTGTAAAAATGTTACTTTATGTAGCTTACGGTACACATCCATATCAAAAGAGGCAAGACAGGGAGGAAATAGGGGAGACGTGCCCTTGGCCTTGAACTGACCTGTGGGGAGAGGCCATTGCTGACCGGATTCATGTGGTTGCTGGCAGCTGATTGGCTCATGAAGGTGTCTGAGTAGCTGGAGAAGCTGTGGCGATTGGACGAGAGGCCGTAGGGGGAGCTGCCGTCAGAGAGTCCGCCCTGGTGCATGGAGGACGGAGGCAGGGGTTGGGGCCGATGCAACGTACTGCTGACATCTGAACCAATAACAACAACAAAAACAACAACACAGAGCCTGGGTAAGGGAGTGAGCCAAGAGAGCCACGACTAAATATACTGTTCTCAAACCTCAGCCTTGTAAACAACTTATTACACCTTAATGGTCTCAAACCCCCAGACAGATTAAACACTAAACGTAAGGAGATCGTTTATTTTGAAAATAGCACAATAAAATTATGTTTTAGCAGTGGCTCATGCCGGCTCAGACATCATGTGACCCCTTTTCATACTGTTTGTAGCTTAGAAATATCCTGCTCTTGTAATTGGTAGCAAACTCCGTTAAAGGCTGTTTCCCTGTCATCGTGTAACAAAGGCTAGTTGCTGTATGGATCCTATATTTAGCACATAACTGTTATATGATATAATATTCTGTTAACATGCTCTAAATGTGTAGCAGACATACCATAGATATTTGTAACCCAAGTGCTACCTAGATTAGATTAAAACACGTCCATTTACACAAACATTTGAGCCCAAAACAGAGCCTCTGGGATAAGCAGATGTGGAGGCTTGTGTGTGAGTGCGTGCGCATGTGTGTGTGTCGGTGTGTGTGTATGTGCGGGCATGTGTGTGTGTCTTACCCTGTGACAGTGTAGTGCCGGGGTATGAGGACTCAGGTAGCTGGTAGGTAGGTAGGCTGGGCATCCCCGTGGGCGGGAAGCCTCCAGGTAACAGGTGGTTGAAGGCGGCCAGCTGATTGGCTCCTGCCTGCTTGCGCCATCTGGCCCTTCTGTTGCTGAACCACACCTGGAGGGAAAATAACTGATGAGAAGGATGGAGAGGACAAACTACAGAACAAACAGAGAAAGAGACAGAGAGAGACAGAGAGACAGACAGACAGACAGACAGACAGAGAGAGAGAGAGCGAGAGAGAGAGAGAATTTCTACCTTTCACTCAGTTTAGCTACTCTATGATAACCCATCTGCAAGAGCGAAGCACTCTCTAACTCTCAGCAATCACAAGGTTGTGCATACTAGAATAGCCATAATTTTCTCTTCATGTTCTGTCCAAAGGAATATGTGAATATATTAACACAATGGATATATTATCAAATGGATATATGATTCCAGAATGCTCCAAATGAATTGAGTGTGTGGTCCTACCACCTGTGATTCATCTGTCTGTTGCTGTGAGAGATGGTGGTGGTGGAGACGCTAGACAGTCCCTGTAGGAGTCAGAGCCTGCATGGAGGTCCAGTGGTCTGGCCCTGTTGTTCTTCTTAAGTGGCTGAAGCTGGGATCTGTGTCAACAGGCTGCCCTAAGAAGTCATTAAGGGGTCAGAGGTAGGGGCCACAAGCTGCATATCAGACATCTCAAGTATGTTTGTGAACCTATTAGACTCTTGGAGGCCATAAAGAATGCCACCACAGCGGTTCATACTCTCTTGTCAATAGTATGTCTACTCTCTCTCTCTCTCTCTCTCTCTCTCTCTATCTCTCTCTCTCTCTCTCTCTCTCTCTCTCTCTCTCTCTCTCTCTCTCTCTCTCTCTCTCTGTTACTCTTTCTGTCTCTCTCTATATGTCTCACATATAATCAGATATATGCAATTGCAAATACATGCATAGTGAACTATTTCAATGATATTATACAAAGTGGATGGGATTTAGCAGTTTATCTGTAATCGACAAAACCATGAATACATATTATTTTGCACAGTCTAACGGCACATTGTTTACATCTTGGTCTTCTTAAGATCGCTAAATAAAATGTAGAATTGTACCAAAATGCACACAAAATGTCCAACACCATTATCAACATTCAACCACGAATGCACAATGTCAACTCCCTGAATGGGAGTGACTAAAGAGGCTCCTTTTTAACTGCAGTGATTTACACATTTTAAAAAGGCTTCTACTTCAACAAAACATGAATATAATCAGGTCTTTTGAAAAGAGCAGCCATACAGCCAGCAACCTGTTCCATTTAACCAAGACAAGGCCTGGGCCCAGTGTAGGCTAAAGGTTTAAGGACATTGATCTATGCCTCGCACTGGCAATTCATCAGAGTTTAATACACTGTCAGCGCAGTTCATCTACTGTTGTGTTTCAAACGGCCTGGCCTATTGTGAAGCCAGATGAAAGGAGGGGACAAAAGGGCTTCCATACGTCAGGCAGAACACTGGGCACAAAGAAGGGGCGTCCCTTTTAAACAGCTCTAAAAGAGCCTAACTTTCAAGGGACTAACACAGGGACAGACTCACTGCTATTGAGGCCTCTCCTTCTCCTGAACACAAACAAATGCTACACATAAACTCACATACACAGAGATCTCAATCACATAAAGACAAATCTCTGTTTAGATTGTCTGCCTCTAGTTCCAATTTCATCAAGAGCATCTCATGTGATAAAAAGGGACTGAGATAATAATACCCCACTGTCCAAGCACTCGCGAGATAAATAAGTCACTCAACCTCTAACCCTAACCCTAACCCCACCAACAGGAAGCCTCTTCTGGAAGCAGATCATTTCCTCACACTTTCCATTTAACAAACAAACTTTTCCAGACCAAATAAAGCACTGCGAGGGCTCAGGGCTCCCTGGTGCCCCCACTGATTTGGCTGCTATTGGGATGTAGTGGAGCGTGGTGCTGGGTCTGAGCTGGAGCTGCTGATATCTTGCTGGGACAAACAGCTGCCTGCCATGGGGACACACCTCTTCCTTCCACACACGCCCAATCAACCGGCCCTGCAGTGCCACCCTCACCTCCGACCTCTGAACCTCACCCCTCAACCCGCCCCTCTTTTATGTTCTATTACACTTCCTTATTTTTGTCATCCAAGCCACAGGCAGGAGGTGTTCCATTATGGCAAACACAAAACACACAGAAATGCCTTGGCCACTTTCTCTTCTTCCTTCACTTCACTTCAGTTTTCTCTTCCTAACACTCACTCTCTTTCCCTCTTGCTCTCTCACATAAACACATTATGAAACTCTACATTTCTGGTCTTTCTTAACAATGTTATGAAATACTCCGATAGACAATTTACAACATTTTCTGATAGAATGTCCCTCCCCTCCTCATTTCAGTCTATAATGACATAATAGGATGTTCAGAGTGGTGCATGGTGATGTCTCAACATCTGCCTCCCATGCTCTGTGGTCACCATTGCCACCCATCCACTTTAATGAGAGGGGAGTCTGTGAAGCGCATCTGTCTAAGTGAATTTACTCCAAGGGTTTGAACGAGCCCGCTGCAACGCCGAGCTACTCAAGTCAACTAAAATGCCAAAGGCTGCACCGCTATCGAGTTAAAGCTGACAAACATTGGGCCCAATGTGACCAGGTCAATACCGTATTGTTGGGCGAGAGGGGGCCATGCGTCACTGCTGCTTCAGAGGAGATGTAATGTTTTCTCCAGCAGCCATGGGCTCTACAACAGCAGACACTGAGATAAACAGGCACGCACATACTGTATGTACGCACATATGCATGCGCGCACACACACAGACAAACACACACACACACAACACAAACAGGAGGAGGATTTGAAGCTGTGCTCTGGAACCCGATCACAAAGTCACCTTGGACCACAGATTCTCCCCTGCTCTCCCCAATCCGGTTTAATTCCTCTGCACTACAGAGAGAGAGAGAGAGAGCTTCATCCCTCCTCCATGTCTACCTCAAAGTCTGCTACTACAGCATCAATCTTTAGTCCTGTTTTGTTTTGTCAGTGTAAGAGGTTTGCTGATTGGCTTCCTCTACACTTGGACTAACATGGACTATGTGATTATCCCTGCAAGATACTGGAGGAAGTTGGAGGGTGGGGGGTGGGGGACGGTAGAAAACCTGGGGCACCACCACATCTCTTAGGACTAGAGCTTAGTGGAGCCTGAGAGACAAAAAGAGACCCGCTTTGAGCTGCTGAGCTGAGCTGAGCACAGACATGGAGGGGGTGGCATGGGACTGTAGGGGGGGTTGGGGGAAATGAAGGCTGGAACGAACGTCAGGCAAGTTGAAGGTCCTGAAAACATGTCCCCGAGTCTAGTGAAGTGAAGGTCTGGAGAGATATGTGTTAACAACAGTTGCTTTTATGTAGCTTTGATTTGGCAGTGGCACATATACAGTATATCCTTTAATCCCACTTGGCAAAAACTGGTTGAACCAACGTTGTTTCCAATTCATTTCAACAAAAATAATCAATGTGATGACGTTGAATCAATGTGGAAAACTAATTGGATTTTAAAAAAGGGCATTTACTATTTTTTTCACCCAACCTAAATCCAATGACATGGTACAATTTTTTGTTGATTTCACGTTGAATTCATGTTAGTTGACAACTCATCCAAATATAAAAGAAAATTAGACATTGAATCTGTGCCCAGTGGGATGTAATCTCTTATCTGAGAGAGTGGCCTGGGTCTGTATTCCACCATTTCTCTAGACCTCACTCACTAACACAACACAATGGACTCTACAGGGCTGAGGATCCCATTTGCTTATCACTGATCTAAGATAACACAAACACAACACTGCAATGCATGACATTACATTGCATTCAAACCCTTTGTCTCAAATAGGATCTAATTGTCTTTCTTTAAAGTTATTGTAACAATTCTACGTTTCTTAAGCCAATGGTGCCACACATTTCACAAAGTGAACTATATGCTACAAAAACAAGGATGAACCCTTATTCTCATGTATTCTCAATGGTGCACTCCACAAATACAATGAACACAGTAGTGCAAAGAGGCGAAACAACATCGCCTCATCGGAATTAATACCATGTACTACCCACCCTCACTGGCTCTTGCTGTTTCTCTCTCTGCCTGCCTGCCTGCCTCTGCCTGCCAGACTGACACTATGCTAATTAGAGTAGCTGGGAGTGTGAATTTGAGAGGAGAGTGGGATTAGCTCGATAAGTATCAGGAATACAGAGGGACTGAAGGAAAGTCATTTAAATTCTAATAATAAGAAACTGTTAGAACATTCACACGGCTGCATTGCAACAATTTCTCTTCCACAATCTACATAAACCCTATCTATTCCTTTATGGAACCGACATAAAACCAGACTGGTGGGAACATGGATGATGCCTGTTGTGTTGGGTGGGCTCTGCTATTGTTACTACTGAAAACTACTATGCCATTCTCTCCTGCCATTGGTAGTCACCTCGCATGGAAACAACCTGGTAAATCTCTATTTCATGATACATCTCTATGACGTCATTGTGTTTATCCTAAACTACATAAAAGGAATATATCTGTCTTTGAGGAATGTGTGACAATATGTCCCTTTCAGTTTTGGGGGATAGACAAGATGGATCAAGATGGAACTCTGCAGTATTTGGTTGTTCAACATGAAAATAAGACATTCAATAGGTAGTCTATAATATATCCTGTGACACTATGAGGTAGTACTGGGATCTCTCCTCAGCCTCTCCATAGAGGCCTCAGAGATCAGAGACAGGGCAGCACAGAGACAAACAGAGCAGGATCCTCTACTCTTTGTGTCGCGGCATGTATCAGAAGCCTAGCGCACTCTCCAGATAGAGAGAAAAACGTCTTCCCAAATTGATTTCTACGCTTCATAAAAGGCTATGCTTATAACTTATTAGATTCCTCTAACTATAATAGCTACATGCAGAATGTTTATTGGTAATGAAAGGGGATCTATGTGACAGATTCGCTGAGCGAGCCAGCCAGCGCTGCCGCCGCTCAGATGAGCCTCCTCAGCAGAGGTAGAATCGGCCTCGTAGAAACTTCAGCCTAAATAGAAGAGAATGTAATTGACTTCATGTGTGAGGAGGAGAGGAGCACTGATTTACAGCGCTAAGGCCCAGCCTCTGGCCTCCCTCCCTTCCTCTGTTCTCTGCCCTCCCTCACTCAACAGCAACCCCCCTACACCTGGCCCAAACTTCTGAAGGATAGACACAAGTGATGCTCTTTTCTCTTCTTAATAGTCTGTGGAAGGACTCCACTGCCTGATCCAGTTAGGAATGAGTGTTTTATTTCAGAAGCAGAATGGCAGCACAGAGAGTGGGGTGCTCAGAGCAGTAGACAGGTAGCTAGATTTATAGGGACGGGTAGCCTGGAACTAAAGGCTGTGAGATATGGATCAGATCCTGCAATTTGTCAGTTGGGGTGATAAAACAGTGGTGGGGCCGGGGGAGGGCTGCTGGGAGCTGCTGGGACCTGTGTTTTAGGGGGTGGTGGGCCTGATGAAGATGGATGAGGTAGTGTGACACAAGATGGCAGGCAGGGGCAGGGAGGGGAGGGGGTTTGGGTTGGCTGAGTTTATGGGGCAGTGAGTTTGGGCTGTGGATTCACTGGTAAACCAAACACTTGTCACTTCTCGTTAAACCAGGAGTCCTCCTGAGCACCCTTCCACACAAGAGCTCTCCACTTGGAGTGGGCACATATACCCTCACAGATAATAGTACTTTTACTATATGTGTCCCTGACTGCAGTGTATACAATACACCCTGCTTTACAGATGATCACCTAGAGATCAGTAACAACTAACAGGGTAAACCGTAACCACCACCTCAAATCCTACTGAAGAAGAGATGGATCTTTATGACCCTACAACACCGCCCCTCTGCTGGGTTTCTCCCTCACCCCACTGCCCTCTCAGCCTCCCCACTCGTTGACATCTGGAAGATGCGTCATTGCAGCTGTGCTGGAGCAGGTCAACTCTCAGGCCAAAGGTTCTTCTGTCCTGCCCAGCACAGAGATGGACCATTTGGGTACCTATGTGAAAACCCAGCTGGCTGACATCTTCAAAACGCACTGACACTAAAACTGTCAAGTTCACACACCAAAATCCAGCCTTATGTCTTTTTAAATGTATTGATTCAATTTGGAGCAGTTCTAGAGAAGAGGCTTCACCAAGTTTTTCTTATATCATCATGTCTCAAGTGGTCAGTGTGGTTGGTTATTGAGGATGTGTCTGAGTACTTCAGCAGGCTGATGAGGAGCAGGGTAAGTCCCTGGTGTTCAGATGCAATGGGGCAGTGCTCTAGCAGAGCCAATGACAAAACCACACATGACTCTCCTGAAAAAGAAACAATTCTACAATTGTCTCCATAGTCCATCCTAAATCCTCCTCCCAACTCACTTGCCAAACCGCTGAGCAACATTGAAGACCAATGGCCATTATTTACTTTGGTTAACCAGAGTCAGTTTCTTGGGGTGACCTTCTCAGAAAATTAAGTTTGAGTTGATCTTTGGAGACTTTCAAAGCGTTTCGAAATTAGATTATGAGGAAAACTGCATTAACAAATTATGTCCATGATTTAAATACCTCAGATTTTCACATGACATCATTTAGCTCTATTATCTCGCAGGAGAGAAAAAGTGTTCTTTTAGTTTTCAACCCTGTTCGGTTTTTTTCACTTTTAGGATTCAAATTACCATCAGTTTCCATAAATACTCGAAAGAGGCAAATGCCTGAAGGGATTCTCTCTAAAATGTAAATGTAATTGACCTACAAATATGGTTGTGAAGTGCCTGGAACATGGACAAGACAGAGGACACTGTGCTCTGTAGCCCTGGGGTTCCCAGTGGGGTAGATCTCAATTCTTATTATTTTTATGTGTATTATTTTTCTCTTTATGAATATTGCTATAAACAACAGATTAAATTAATTTCGGATCAGTGAAAAAAAGTCTACATAATGCACTGTAATTTAAGCTTTAAAAGCAATATTTTCTCTCTGCCCCATGGTAAAATGTGTAGAATTGCTCTAAATTAGCTTTAAAACTGCTAAATGTTCTCTCTGCTCCAAGGCAAAATGTGTAGAATTGCAGGAAATTAGCTTTAAAACTACAGCATTTTCTCTCTGATGGAAAGAGGGGGTGTCCGACTTCCTCCGAAGCTGCCACCTCTCCTTGTTCGGGCAGGCTTCGGCGTTCGTCGTCACCGCCTTCTAGCCACTGCCGCTCCTCATCTCATCATTCCATTTGTTTTGTCTTGTTTATTACACACACCTGGTTCATATCCCTTTATCAGTACCTGTATAAGTGTTCCCTCTGCCCCCTTGTCTTTGTGTGTGATTATTTATTGTGGAGGTTAGATTAGCTCGGTGGAGCTCTTTGTATTTTGTATCACCGGGATATTTCACCCGTGTGCCTTGTTGTTTTCCAGTGCACATGATTTCCGCACTGGAGTGTTTGACGCATTGCTGCGTACCGCTGTGTTTTCGTAATAAACATTTTATTCTGCGATTTACCCTCCTGCGCCTGGAGAGGAGAGTACCCAACCCTTCGGGACCAGCTGAGCGACCGGATCCAGACACCCACACCCCAGCACCCAGAGGGATTCATCTATCCCAACCGAGGGATTATGACGGGACAGCTACCTGCTGCCAGGGATTCCTCCTGCAGCTGGACCTCTACTTCTCAACCATCAGCCCGGCTCCATCGGAGTGGGAGAAGGTGTCCGCCCTTGTCTCCTGCCTCTCGGGGAAAGCCCTGGAGTGGGCCAATGCGGTCTGGAGTGAAGGAGGAGCCGTGTTGGACAACTACGGGGAGTTCGCTCGCCTCTTCCAGGCAGTCTTCGATCACCCGCCCGAAGGAAGAGTGGCGGGCGAGCGGCTGGTCCAACTGAGGCAGGGGATGAGGACCGCGCAGGACTTTGCCCTGGAGTTTTGTACTCTAGCGGCTGGGTCCGGGTGGAATGAGCGGGCCCTCATTGACAGCTTCCGGTGCAGCCTGCGAGAGGACGTCCGAAGGGAGCTAGCCTGCCGGGATACCATGTTGACTTTTGACCAGCTGGTGGACATGGCCATCCGGTTGGTTAACCTGCTAGCTGCAAGAGGACGTCCTGGAAGGGGCCTGCCCGTTTCACCCCCCCCTCAACCCGGATTCAGTTCCGATGGAGCTGGGTGGTGCAGCGATCCTGGAGTACGGAGGACGACAGCTCCAGCGTCACTCTTGTGGCAGGAGAGGACATTCTGCTACACGCTGTCGTCAGGGTTCTTCCGGGTCTGGAGGCGGCAGGTAGGGCACTCTCGCGTCAACCCAGGAAGCGCAAACTCACACTCGTTCAGAGCCCTCTGCTGCGCACTGCACCATACACGTCACCTTCCCTGATTACACAGTAGTTTCCCAGTGTAAGGCGCTGGTCGATTCAGGCGCAGCTGGGAACTTTATGGAAAGGTCGTTAGCTCATAGTCTAGGTATTACGTTGGATCCCCTATCCATTCCACTGCCCATCAAAGCACTTGACAGTCGACCATTAGGGTCAGGGTTCATTAGGGAAGTTACAGCACCAGTCACGATGGTTACGAACAAGACCCATAGAGAGCAATTCACCTTTTTTAATTATTGAATCTCCTGATTTCCCTGTTGTGTTGGGTCTTCCCTGGTTAGCACTACATAACCCAACCTTTTCATGGCCTCAGAGGGTTCTCACGGGGTGTTCGCGAGAGTGTCAGGGTAGGTGTCTAGCTGTTTCCGTTGGTGCAACCACGGTGGAAAGTCCAGACACTACCTCCACCGTGCGCATTCCCCCCGAATACCTCGATTTGCGCATGCGTTTTCCAAAATGCAGGCGACCAAATTACCACCTCATTGGGCGGGGGATTGCGCGATAAACCTCTGGGTAGACGCTGTGCCTCCCAGGAGTCATGTATATCCCCTGTCGCAGGCTGAAACGGAGGCGAAGGGGGACATACGTTTCCGAGTCCCTGCGCCAGGGGTTCATACGTCCCTCCACTTCGCCCGCCTCCTCATGTTTATTTTTTGTGAAGGAGAAAGACGGAGGTCTGCGCCCTTGCATTGATTACCGAGCACTTAACAAGGGGACAATTCGTTATAGTGATCCTCTACCCCTCATTCCATCTGTAATCGAGTCAATGCATGGGGCGCGCTTCTTCACAAAATTAGATCTCCGGAGTGCATACAACCTAATGCGTATCCGAGATGGGGACGGGTGGAAGACAGCATTCAGCACAACCACGGGGCATTACGAATACCTGGTGATGCTGTGCGGTTTGATGAATGCTCCATCAGTCTTCCAGTCCTTTGCAAACAAGGTGTTTCGGGACATGCTTGGTCATGGTGTAGTGGTCTACATCGATGACATTCTGGTGTATTCCGCTACGCGCGCTGAGCATGTGTCCCTGGTTTGCAAAGTGCAGGGCCGACTGTTGGAACATGACCTTTATGCCAAGGTAGAAAAGTGTCTGTTTTTCCAGCAGTCCGTCTCCTTCCTCGGATACCGCATCACCACCTCAGGTGTGGAGATGGAGGGAGATCGCATTTCAGCCATGCCTAATTGGCCGACTCCAACCACGGTAAAGGAGGTGCAGCGCTTTATTGGCTTTGCCAACTACTATCGGAGGTTTATCCGGGGCTTTGGCAAGGTCGCAGCTTCCATCACCTCTCTGTTGAAGGGTGGGCCGTTCCGGCTCTGCTGGTCTGCTGAGGCTGACAGGGCTTTCAGTAACCTGAGGGCTCTGTTCACCTCAGCTCCGGTACTGGTCCATCCCGATCCATCATTACCGTTCGTAGTGGAGGTGGATGCATCCGAGGTAGGGATAGGCGCTGTCCTATCTGAACGCTTGGGCACGCCACCCAAGCTCCGCCCCTGTGCCTTCTTCTCCAAGAAACTCAGCCCGGCAGAGCAGAACTACGACGTTGGTGATCGGGAGCTGTTGGCTGTCGTCAGAGCCCTGACCACTGGCTCGAGGGGGCGAAACACCCTTTCCTCGTCTGGACTGACCACCGTAACCTGGAGTACATCCGCGCAACTTGGAGGCTGAACCCGTGCCATGCCAGGTTGGCCCTGGTCTTCACCCGGTTTGATTTTACACTGTCCTACATACCGGGTACAAAGAACGTGAAGGTAGAGGAGAGGCCCATAGACAACACCCCCATACTCCCGGCCTCCTGCATTGTGGCGCCGGTAGTATGGGCGTTACGCACAGAGCCATCTCCACCTCAGTGCCCAACTGGGATGCGGTACGTGCCGTCTCTTGTCCGTGACCATCTGATCTACTGGGCACATGTCCCCCTCCTCTGGTCACCCAGGTATCGGCCGTACAGTGCGCTGACTGACCGGAAGGTACTGGTGGCCTACCTTGGCTAAGGACGTGAGGGTGTATGTCTCCTCCTGCTCGGTGTGTTCCCAGAGTAAGGCACCTAGGCACCTCCCAGCGGGTAAGTTACAGCCCTTACCAGTTCCACAACGGCCATGGTCCCATTTGTATATTGACTTTCTCACTGATCTTCCCCTCTCTCAGGGTAACACCACCATCCTGGTTGTTGTGGACCGCTTTTCTAAAGCCTGCCGCCTCCTTCCTCTGCCCGGTCTCCCCACGGCCCTGCAGATTGCGGAGGCCCTGTTTACTCACGTCTTCCGGCACTACGGGGTGCCAGAGAACATAGTGTCTGACCGGGGTCCCCAGTTTACATCCAGGGTCTGGAAGGCGTTCATGGAACGTCTGGGGGTCTCGGTCAGCCTGACCTCTGGGTTTTACCCTGAGTCTAATGGGTAGGTGGAACGGGTGAATCAGGATGTGGGTAGGTTCCTGCGGTCCTACTGCCAGGACTGGCCGGGGGAGTAGTCGGTGTTCTTGCCATGGGCCGAATATGCCCAGAACTCTCTCCGCCACTCCTCTACTAACCTATCGCCATTTCAATGTGTTTTAGGTTATCAGCCAGTTCTGGCACGGTGGCATCATAGCCAGACCGAAGCTCCTGCGGTGGATGACTGGTTTTGGCGCACGCAGGAGACATGGAATGCTGCTCACGTCCACCTCCAGTGCACCGTGCATCGCCAGAAGGCCAACGCTGACCGCAACCGCAGTGAGGCCCCAGTCTTTGTATCGGGTGATCGGGTCTGGCTCTCGACCCTCCATATGCCCCTCCATCTGCCCTGTCGGAAGCCAAGCACGCGATTTGTGGGGCTGTTCAAAGTCCTGAGGAGAATAAACAAGGTTACCTATAGGTTACTACTCCCTCCAGATTACCGTATTAACTCCTCGTTCTATGTCTCTCTCCTCAGGCCGGTGGTGGCTGGTCCGCTCCAGGAGTCTGAGGTGCGGGAGGTTCCTCTGCCTCCTCTGGACATCGAGGGGGCCCCGGCGTACTCCATCCTGGATTCAAGGCATCGGGTGGGGGGCCTTCAGTACCTCGTGGAGTGGGAGGGGTACGGTCCCCTACACAAAAGTGGTCCCCTACACAAAAACGTTTGGGAACCCCTGCTCTAGCCCACATGGCACTCTGCTCAACCAATCTTACACAGGTTTGCTGGATTGTTTCATCTTTGAGACCAATCACAATGAGCTTCACAAAGAATTCAACTCCACTCTACAAGGTCTATATTCTAAAATGTTGATGCTACATTTAAATAAATTAGACCAAATGACATTGTAAATACAAACCATTGTAACCCTTCTGTCATAACTCAGAATCTATTAGACATGCATGTATTTTCCAGATGTATTTCATGAGACATCCATTACACTGTAATGGAGGAGAATCTTCAGAAAAAGAGATTAATCAAATAGTAACTGAAAGACCTTCCCAATCTCATGTTCAAGTTTGCCTCATAAGCATATTTGAAACATTCTAAAACGTAATGTAGCACAAGAAAATATGCATGAGATAAATCTCTCAGCATCCTCCACTGAGTACTGCAGCAACCATTTAGACATCTTTCTGTTTGGAGGGTTTGCTAGACAGACAAAGACATGTGTGGAATCAGTTACCCCTAACCGCATGTTTGGAGTGTAAGGAACAGTTAGCACGCGGGGTGGTTCAGAGTTTGGGAGGTTCAGGGGGAGTGAGCAAGGGGTTGTGGTAAGAAGAGAGGGTTGCCCTTTTTTACTAGCATCTGATTGATTCATGTTGTTGTCGGGGCATGGGGTCCCTGGAGAGGATGAGGGACCCTCCATGATATGCACATGGTTTTACAAGTGGCGGCAGGCTTGAAAGTGATGGGAGAGAGATGCTGGCCAAAGGCCGAAATGAGAAATCCATCAGGAATGCATTTCTTCTCGCTCTCTCTTTCTCTTTTCCTCTCTCTCTCTCTCTCTCTCTCTCTCTCTCCCTTCTGAACAGCTGCTGCTATAACTCTACTGCATTTCCTTCAGCGTTACATAAAACCACATGGTACACAAGCTGTCAGGCAGGTCCTGGAGTGGAGTCTTGTGTGTAAAAAAATGGAGCATCCCCTGTCAAGGCCTTCTTAGAACAGATGAGGACTCACAGAGAGCAGTGAACTCCCAGGTGAGGTGAGGAGGTAAAATATGGGTAAAAAATACCTGGACTGGGATGAATTAATATAGTCGCTAGTAAGTCTACATACCCCTTGCACAATCTTCTTTTGCAGCCTTAAAATTACATCTAAAAAGGGATTATATGGATTTTTTTTGCTTCCGATCTACACAACCTACTCCACAGTTTCGAAGTGAAAGAGAGGATAAAGAAAATGGTCCAAGTGAATAAAATAAAGATGTCTTGATTGCGTATGTCTTCACACCCCAGAGTTATTACTGGAAGGAAGAACCGTTGGCAGCCATTACAGCTGTTTATCATTTTGAATAAGATTATACACATTTTGCACAACTCTTAGGGCAACATACAGTATATCCATTGTTTTTGTCAAAATTGCTGAAGCTCAGTACATTTGGTTGGGAATCATTGAGTGGAAGCTATATTCAAACTTTGTCTCTGATTTGAAAACAGATTTAGGTCAGGAGGACTGAGACTGGACCATTCAGGAACACTCAACACCTCTTGGAAAGCCATTCTGGTGTATCTTTGGCATTAAAAGTTGTGTAATTGTCCCTCCCCCCAAAAACGATCTAAGCGTTAGATTTTCTCTAGAGTGTGAAGACATACACAATTAAGATGTCTTCTTCTTTAAAAAAAAAAAAAAAAAAAAAAAACGATTTGCCAAATGTTGTATAGTTTTCTTTCACTTTGAAAATGTGGAGTAGGTTGTGTAAATGGGTAGATTTTTATTATTTCGGAAGACTATAGCAGGATATTAAAACAAATGTTTGCCATGTACAGGAAAACAGTGCTTTAGATTAGTGTCATAAACACATGGATAATGCTAACCCGCCATGACAGAGTGTATGTTGCATTGATTGTTTGTGTGTCTAACTAACCTGTACGCGGGCCTCAGTGAGCTTGGTCCTCTGGGCCAGCTCTTCCCTGGTGTAGATGTCTGGGTAGTGTGTCCTCTCAAAGGCCTTCTCCAGCTCCTCCAGCTGCTCGGCTGTGAAGGTGGTGCGGCTGCGACGCTGCTTCCTCTTCAGGGGAAGGTCCGGCTCCGACTCCACATCTGAACCCTCGTCTGTACGATTACCTGGGCCAAAGGGGAGGAGGGAGAGGCCATCTCAGTTAATACTAAGAAAAACACTAAAATAATACAAGGGAATTTAGCAACAATGGAAAGGAAGTCCATTTTATTGGTTGGTTATTTATCTCTTCAGTTGTCTGTGTTTACCCACAAGCCTCTGTTCTGACAGCAATCAGTCACAGTTTTTGTTGATTAACCTATGTCATTGAAAAAGGCAATAAAAAGTAGGGCTGTGACGATGCCAGTATCGCAATATCTTTTCCATGGCAAAATAAAGGTGACTCTGGATGACAACGTAATGATGTTTGTTTCCAACATTAGGGCTGTTTTCCTAAAGAAGTAAAATCCGCTTCGTGTTTTGTTTCCTTGTCACGATACTAACGAGTATCGCAATACTGGTATCATCCTGGCCCTAATAAAAAGGATGGGTGAAACCCTGAAATGGTCCATACAAGCCACTTTTTCTAGTTTAGGGGCACAACCCACTTCAGAGGCTATGTCGCTTGAGGGGGAGAGGCTGCAAAGCCCTTCAAATGACTGCTTTCCCTCTCTCCGAGCACAACAGAGCAAATATGATCTTAATCTGTGGATATATATACAGTATTTAAGAGGCCTGATACCCAATCCTGCCTGAGAGAGAGAGAGAGAGAGAGAGAGAGAGAGAGAGAGAGAGAGAGAGAGAGAGAGAGAGAGAGAGAGAGAGAGAGAGAGAGAGAGAGAGAGAGAGAGAGAGAGAGAGAGAGAGAGAGCGGGCGGGCGGGTGGGGGAGAGAGGCGCCAGAAGCTGGAGGCAGAGGGCCGCAGGCGGTTGGGGGCAGGAGGGGAGGGGGTGCTGGGTGGAAGGGTTAATCTACGCAGGCCACCTTGCTGTTCCTCACCACACTATTCTCTCACAATGGCCCAGGGCACACTGCTGCTCAAAAAACAGCACAGACAGAATATACAGAACACTATAACAATATCACACCAGAACCATTCAATCCCATATTCTGTGTTTCTATGATGCTGCTGTCAATAAATGAATTACAATATATCTTACAGTACTTTTAGGCATTCAACTAAGCTGCTGCATTTTCGCTTGAGGAATATAAATACTGCGCAAAGCCATCCAATCCAGGCCAAGAGGAATGTTTCTGACAGCGAATATGTATTACCACATCGCATTACCATTATAACTGAATTTAGGAAATTGCATCATTTTCACCTCCTCTGCATGTCTATTCAAACTACACGGCCCTTTTCATTTCTTGTTATAAAATGCATATTTTCACAAATGTGCTCATTGAGACATTGACAAGCCAGTGTTGCTCTAGGCCTAGTTGGATTGCATCAGACATGTACAGTCCAGAAGGAGAGAAGGGTAAAGAACAAAAAATGCTAGATAGCCTATAGAACGAAAGAGTTTGTGGAGAGCTCATTGTCCCTTACAGAAACCCTTTCTCCCCAACTATAATGACAACCATAATGGTCTCCTGAAAGTTAGCCCAGGTGAATCCATTGCATTGGCTATGGGCACAACTAAGCTCAGTTCAACAAAGCCCTCTCGAATGTTTCAACATACCACATGGACAAACTGAAGCCAAATAGCCTTCAAATAACAACTGAGAGAATAAAAGAGCAACTAAATCTGGCTGGGTCTCAAGGCCGGCTCTGGAGTTTAATTAAACAAGGAATTATGGGATTATATGGTGACTATCATTACAGGCCACTCGATGAGTCTTCTGAGAACGTCTTTTTGTCCCCCTGAGCTCACGCTCAACGATTCTCTGCGGATTACATGCGGCCGCAGGACATGAGGCCGCATTCATTAAATCAATTCTTTAGTCTAACCCTTTTAAATAAAGATTGATTCTCCAACACTGGCTCCCAATATTGCAGAGAACAGCCTTGAACATACAATGTTGAATATGTACATATATGGCATATCTCTTTGTTGGTTTTCATGAGGATGCACACAGGGATTTGCCGCTAACTCGCCATGACAACACTTGAGACCGGCACAGCGGTCTATAGATCACTTTTCAAAGTCACCTCTGTGTCCTACGGGGGGGGGGGGGGGGGGGGGGGGTGAGGGGGGACCATGCGGGCAGAGCGGAGGGCTGCTCAATGGTTTAAAACCAGACAAACACCACAGAATTCTATTTGAGTTATTTTCTTCTGCTCAAATTTCTCTTCCTTTATTTATCTATGTGATCGGATTAAAAGTTGCATGAGTGGATATAGACTAGCCACTACTTAACATTTCAAAACAGAATCCTCCCTCTATATTCCAATGTAAGCATTTTGCAAAGCATTTACAAACAAACTGCATGGCAAACAAGACTAATGAATATGTACTGCCACCTGTGATTGAGCCCTGGTTATAGTGACATGTGTCATGGCACACGAACTACAGGCAGCAGGCAGCGTGCTCTCGGTGAAGGTCAACAGCCCTATTAGTAGTGAGTTTGGGAAACAGGGATGTGAGAAGCAAACCTCATCTCTATCCAGACCACATTTTTCTGAATGGGATGCCAAGATTAATCAACAACACTGGGGACCCACATGTAACAAAATGGGTTGTGACAGAAACAGAATTTCAGTTAAACATACTTTATGGTTCCTCTAATTGTTGGTGCAACACAGAGTTGCATGGCTGTCTGGTTAATGTATTTTACTGGCCAACCTACTCTCAGGTAAAACCCTTCAGCAGACAACACAAGACTATCTACATACACAAACAAGTCGAAATATAACGACACTGGGTGGATTACACAGTATCCACATCGTTTCATTTAAATATGTTTAACATTGTATACTTTATTCAGACAGCTGGAAACAAAAGGGGAGACAAGCAAGTGGGAGAACAGTAGGCAGGGTAGACACAGGGATTGAACCCCGGTCTTGTGACTGGCCAGGAGCGTTATCACTAGATCACGGGCTCTGCACCAAATATTTGTATTTAATGGTTGTTTGATATTTATAGATGCAGTGCCTCTCGGCCTAAATTATGGAAGAATAAACACTTACTATCTGTTTCCCAGACAACAAAGCTTTTGAATTCAAATAACACATGTTTCCTTCTTGGTTTAAAAATCTGTCAATGTTGATACAGGACAAAACGGTGGATGATTAGCCTACTACCTTGGAATAAACTCAATCCCTGTGGGCGTTGAGGTCAATTCTCTAACACTTCTCGCCGCTTTGAAACAATAAGGTACATCCTGATTAGACCTGGGTATAATGCCTCGGCTGTAATTCCATTGGAAGGTTCTGGGGATATTGATAAAGCACTCGTGCCTCGCCTCATCAGTTATCATAGCAATTAGAGCCTAATTATGTATACCATCCAGTGGGTATGATTAGACAGCCGTGTATCCTCCTTCAGGGCCCTCAGAGGGCCTTCTCAATATTGATTTAAAAATACAGCTTTGTTTAAATAGAAATTAACCAGGTATTGACGAGGTCTTCTAAATCAGAAAAGTTTTGTTTACGTTTCAAGTAAAAAGGGGAAACAAGTAAACATGTTATACCGGAAGAGCAAATTGTTTTACTAACAGACTTTAATTGAATCTCATTACTTATGAATGGAGCCATATGTTTCCCAAAGATATTGTTTAAGCTTTCTGTTCCCTCTCTCAAAATCACAGCTTTTTCCCAAAGCTACTATTTCTATCAATATCGATAGTCAGACAGAATAACAACTCAGGTCAGAACACAACCAACAACAGTGGTCTTGTCTCTGACAACCTGAGCAGTTGGTTTATAGTTTAGCGGTGAGTTTAGTGTGAGGTTTAAAGACGGTCCTCCCTCTCTTCTGATGCTCCTCACTGCTGACCCCACGGTCTGCTCAGAGCTCAGACTGCAGGCAGATGGAATCCTCATCACCCCATCCCCTCCAAACCAACTCCGGGCCAGCCCGCTAACCCTATGGACTCTCTTCTTCTCTTCCTCCTATCCTCCCTCTGAGGAGCTCCTACTCTCTCTATTCCTCCTGGGAGAGAGGCTGAGGTAATATGGCTTGGATGGACTGCTGTCCAAGCCTGTACAGTCAATAAAGACTGCTGGCTCCAGTGCTCCACAAGAACATTATGCTATAATAAACGACAAGCCCTACAATAGCAATGTCTATTAGCACTGAAGGGGACAGAAAACATACAATGACAGTCTAGAAAACGATCACAAAAAAACGGAATCTAGGCTACACTCCAACACCCTCAGCTACAACTGATCACCACAACACTACAACACAGGAGGCTACTAGAAATGCTTCAACATGACAACACAAACATCCTCAATGCCAAGATGTCTAATATGGTCAAATATTAACCAATATAATCACATCAACATTGTGTCAGTGAATATTTAGGTAAAATATCGAAAATATAGGTCAGAAATTGATACTTGGACTGCATATTAAACCTGTGAGGTATTTAACGATAACAAGCGATTAAGAAGCCACCATGATGTCACATGGGGGGGAAGCGTCATTCTTCGTCTCTCAGATTGCCTCTGAGTCAGTATTAGCTCAACACTATGGTGTGTATCCCTATCCTTGTCCCATGCAGGCTGTTTCTGATACCAAAACCAATGGCCTCAATATCAGCTATACCTTTCCAAAATACCTAAGACAGAGGGAAAAAACAGACAGGGCTTTGGCAGTGAAGCATTAGCTCATAATGGCTCATTTTGAAAAGCATATTAGTTCCAGCATAATTACAATCAGGCCACACGCTCAGTGTTCTGCAGGCATTCACAGGACCAGCCTCAGAGAACCCAGTCACACCAGTTGACTGTGACTGACAGCACATTTTGTTTATTGGTAGTCTTTTTTTCATTCATTCCCACAGGAAGAAAATAACATCCCATCTTTTCTCTCTATTTATGTTTACTTGTTTATTTTGTGCATGCCTTTTGTCGTAGTTGATGTCGCAATTATACTTTTTGTCAGTCGGAGGGGAGGAATATCAAAAGGCCTAATTATGCAAACAGGCCCTGTGATAAGCAGCAAACGCCTGAGATGGGATCTGCTATCTCTGACATCCATCTGTCTCTGTGCTGTCTCTCCTGCTCCAGGCCTGAATATAAACATATCTTCCTGTCACCAAGACTGCATGGGATTCAACCCCACATACTGGAGAGGAGGGATGTTTTCGGGGGCGGGGATCATACAGCAACATCAAATAGCTGACAACTACTCCATTTGCATTTTTCAGAGAATGGGGCGGTATTTCTCCTGAATGCACTTCCCTGTGCGTCCCTAAGTGTTTGCCAAATTAGGAGAGCCATGGGAGACGATTCAGTTGTGCTACTGAAGGATGGATTTAACATAGAAACAGTATAGTACTCCATGAAAACAAACCTTATAGTACTTAATGAAAACAAACTTTATAGTACTTAATGAAAACAAACCTTATAGCAGTCCATGAAAACAAACCTTATAGTACTCCATGAAAACAAACCTTATAGTACTCCATGAAAACAAACCTTATAGTACTCCATGAAAACAAACCTTATAGTACTCCATAAAAACAAACCTTATAGTACTTTGTGAAAACAAACCTTATAGTACTCCATGAAAACAAACCTTATAATACTCCAATGAAAACAAGCGACAAGAGGAACTACCCACTCAGCTAGACAATGAGCCAGAGACTGAAATAAAAACCTCAATGGTTAATTTAGCAGAATACTTCATAAAGAATCTCCTCTGTTAGTTACCTCGGTCACCAACCAGAAAACATCTCCAACATGAGAATATGGCAAGGAGAATATGATAATATGGCAAGGATGTACCTACCTAATGTTAATATACTGAAATCAACTTGAATTATCATCGTCTCCCCAGGTACCAGTGACCTTTTCAGAGCCTGGCTTGGCATTTATCACAAATTGAATCTGGAGTTGATGATCAGCAACCACTGGTATGGCTACTGTCATCTGCTTGCAATAAACAAAAGTAACTACTCTAAATGAAAAAAGTAGAGTTACAGTATTGCACAATTTAGATTATGAGTGTGGTTGAGAGTCGACAACAATGGACTCTCAACCAAGCACTGACTGTATAAATATACCTAAATGACATCGCATTGATCTTCCCCTCCTCTCTCAAACCGTACAATCAGTTCTGTCCACTGCTTAACAGGTGGCTTAGGACCAAGGGCAGGTGTCTCCCGAGAGACTCA